GAAAGAGTGCGGAAGAAATGCGCAGGGTAATAACATACAAACTATCATACATAACTTGGACATACCTGGTCACAGAGGAAAAAAACATATAACAGATAGCCTCCAGTGAGTGCTCAGCTCGCTCCTAAACAAAAACACACAACAAGTTTACCCATGCGACCCAAGGTGGGCGATAAAAGTAAAATAGTCACAAATGGATGGAGCGCTCACCTCTTTCCACCCGACACCGTGCAGGAAAAAGAGCGGAAGAGGTGTGCGACCCCTTTTTATACCCGGCTACCAACGAAGAAAAGCATGGCATGTGAATTAACTTACACATGAACCAAAACGTTTTGTGTAATGATTACATCCCGGTTACATTCTGTGTACATATTACATCCCGGTTACATTTTGTGTAATTATTATACCCCGGTTACACATGAACAGATGTAATATGCAAAGGTTTGTGCACCCTCTGGCAAATTAAATAGGTCTAGGCCTATTTTGCTGATCTTTGTAGTGAAAAGAATAAAATACAGCCCTTCCAACAAATTCAGAGCTTTCCTTCAAATGTTGATGCACTGTTAATTTTTAAGATAGTTAATGAACTTAAAAAATAAAAATAAATAAATATTGTGGCATGTTCAAAAAGTTGTGCACTTGTAAAACACTCGTTAGACTTTAATTGAGTCCTCAGGACTTGTCATGAATTCATTGTGAGCCCCGTTTATACATATACGTTTAATATTGTTTCCCCATAGACTCTACGGATCTACTCCTGAGTTTTGGGATCTAACACTAACTAATCCCACTATTGTCCACAAGGCGTTGGCCATCAGTCTCACATCACTAAGGCAACGCGCTGAAGCTTCCTCCTAGAGGCTCATGGGAAGCAAGTCCTGCTACTAAAGCGGAGGGAGTTTCGAACTATTTCACGGTTATCTGCGGCATAAGACCTAAAACTGTAGTTATATTTACATGTTCTCAACCACCTCATGTGAGCGTAATATGTAAGTATAGTAAATTACTCTGAAGTACACAGGAGCAGAGTTCGGCGAGCACAATTAGCAACGTGGCTAACGCTAGTTATCGCAATGGTTAACATTGGTGATCTTTTTGTTAGTTTTAACAACGGTTAACACTGGCTCACCCGACACGACACAATAACATTGTCCGTACAGGTCACTTATTGCCGTGATCATACAACAGTTTCATTGCATATTTAACAATATTTTTAACAGGCTAACTTGCTACGTGACTAGTTTACACTGGAGCGAATAAATGTGTTGCTAGCCATTTAGCCTCGAGATTTATGTTGTTTTGCTTGACTAATTAGTTGGATCCTGTAATTCTTATTAACCCTTCTTGAATGCGCAGTCAAGACGAGCTGACGCTGTCTGCTAAACATGGAGCTGAAGTTGGAGGTAGTTTTGTCATCCACCATCAAGAGGAAGAAACCATCGCCGCAATTCTGCTGGCTTGGGCGGGTGAGGAGAGTCGTTAATGTTAAGAAAAAAGCACTTTGGCCAGTGTCAGAAATAAAATGACAACAAACGTCCGTGTTACTCCCCAGGAGAAGGAATCTGTGTTCCTCTTGGATGACAAACGGATCAGTGAGATTAACATGATGACTGGTCGCACCAAAAAGAGGATTCCTAAACTCCACCCTTTGCTCAACAGTGTGGTGACAATGGCTTCATCACACAATGGTGACTTTAATGTATAAACTCAAAGTAAAACACCTGTCACCTTTCAATTCTCAGAATACATTTCTTTTAACTGTATATTTCTATTTATTTATTTTTTTTAGGTGTATGGCTTTGTGGACTTTTGCTTTCAGGAGAGCTCTTTCTATGGAACAGGGATAAAGACTTGTTGAAGACAGCTGCAGGAGTCCCAGAAGTAGTTAAAATGATTACTGCTGTTCACGGTATGAATTGTATGAAAACACCAGTAAGTGTCACACTAGTGTTCCTGTTCAGGCCTTCTGGTAACTAGATATATCTATGTATTCATGCATTATCTGTGTTGTTAGAAATTAATATACAGTCACTTGGGTGCAGTCTCGAGCTTTGGTGTTCAAATACATTTGCTTATGTAGTGTATTTTATCCTGGATATTACAGCTCCAGCAGGTTGTGGATGGGCAACACATGTAGTATCCTAATTCTCATTGTTTTTGTTATGTTGTGCGCTATTCAGTGTATTATTAAATATTAAATCAAGGATGTGTGTGTTTCATCACAGGAAATGGAAGGCTGTTGTCTCTCCAGGTGTCAGGGGATGGGATGCGTGTGCTTTTGGCAGCTGTTATAGGGCAGGTGTTCTTGTGGGAGTGTACGGATGTCAGTTATTTGATGGGAGTGCGAGATGGCACTGTCAAAGGACACTGGACACATATACTACCACTTCAAGATACAGTTCTGCCTTCTTCACAAGACAAAGAAGCATCGCAACATACTATCTTCATTAAGACAGAGGTTTGTAATTGTAAAAAGAGTACGTTTTACATATTGTGGAATGTTTTAATCAGTGGCACAATTTTATAATTCTGCAGAGCATTTCTTAGTTTTTACATGTCTTATATGTATCTTGTTATATCTTTTTCCAATCTCTCTTAGGCTATGGGTGATACCTGCTTATCAGTGTTTATTTTCACATCTGGGAAAAAGTTAATCATCACCTGTCTGAAAATTCAATGGGAAGAGAACCATGTGAGGGTTGGGTGAGTGAGCAGGTCTCTGTAACAGTCATGACTCTCACTGGGTATTATGGTAGTAAAAAAGTACACATTTCTGGTTGTAGTTCTGTGGGATACGGCATACAGTGGGCCACCAAGACATATCCCATGTCTTGTCTCACCCCACCCTGCCAACCAGTGAAGTCTAGAGGGGCCTTGGTGTCAGCCTTCTCCCCAGATGGCCGATTGTTAGCCATTGTGTTGAACCAGAGACAGCCAAAGGTGAAAATCTGTCCTCTCTACTTCTTGCATCTGTTTTTTTGCTCCATCCATCTATAGAAATGTGACTCAGCATGTGCATTTCCTGTTTCTGAATGCAGGCTACACAGGTCCTCTTTGTGAGCACACAGAATTTTGTCTCAGTGTCAAGTGGCCTTGGAGGATGTGGAAGTAAGAGAACGGAGATCCCTTCAAAATACATAAGGTACAGTATGCGTGAATCAAAATAGGAGCATGTGCTGTGTTTGGCACGGTGCAGCAGTCAGCTGATGAGAGCCTTAATCTGGGGATCAACTACTGTTTAGTTAGACTGTCTAAATATTACTGTTGAAGGTCTATGACTGAATCATTGCTGCTTTAAATAAACACTGTGCTGTGAACAGTGTGCATATCATTTCCAGACTGTCTTAATATAAAATGACAAGTCATTTCCCAGCATCACCAGTAAATCAAACTGTGTCTGTACAATTGTATCAACATTGCCAAGATGTAAGACACCAGAAAATCACTGCTACTAGAGGTTGTTTTACCTCACCCAAATGCTACTGATCATTAGAAGTGCTCTAAGATGTTTGATGTACAGTGTGTATTTATTTTGAAAAGAACTTTACATATCTTCTCTTTTAGGTCCTACTGGGTGGGCAGAGTGAGCTGGTCACCCAACAGCCTTTTCCTGGCTTGTGTTCTCAAGAGAGGCTCCCTTCTTATGTTGGCTCGCCTTGGGGGACTTCTGACCCTTACAAGCTCTGGTTGCAGTATTGACTTTGGGCCTGCACACTTTCTACCCCTGCACCCCCTTGTCACTTACCGGTATACATTTGAAACATTTTGCTCTTCATTTATGAGCTGCTGTAACATGGTTTTGATTTGTTTGTGCTGGCCTTCTAAATTATTGCTTTTTTGTTTTTTTTTCTGCTTCACTGTCAGATCTCAGCAGTCAGTCAAGTCATTGCCTCTGTCTTATTCTTTTGTCTTTAGCATGAATGAAGTAGAATTTCCTTGTGAAATGTGAGGTTTTACTTTATATAATGTTGGTTTTATTTTCTCTCTGTGATAAAAGTATTTTCCTGTTTCTCCACTTTCTCTTTGCAGGCCACCAGTGTCTGCAGTGAAAGGGGAGGCCTCTTTGTCCAGTTCCAGCTTGTCTATGCGGGATGTTCTGAGGCAGCGATATTCTGTGATCTGGCACCCGCAGCTGTTGTATCTCATTGTGTCTGATGGCTACATGGCCACAGTTATGAGAGTTCTAGATAAGTCTTCTCCTGCAGTGTTGCTACAAACACTGCTAAAGGAAACAAGCAGGGACCTTGAGAAGGCCAGCCGCATGCTGGATAAATCACAGGTAGTAAACCAGGGACCTATAGGAGTGGGAATAAGGAACTTGCTCAGCTCCAGCTTTTCTATGTGCTTTCCATAGTAATATTCTTGAGAAGACATTTTCCTCATCTTCATTGTTTTCAGATTCATGTGCAGGCATGGTTGGAGTCTGTATCCTGCCTATATCCTGACAGCAGCCTTGAGATGTTCAACTCTGTTGTTACATGTGGGCCCAACACCACAGAATCTGCTGTTTCACCAGCCACAAATGGATCCACTTTGCCCCTTTTCCTGCAGGAACAGGGGACACTGGATGGCACCAAGGAACTTCTTGAAAAAGTACAGGTCAGTAAAATAGTATAAGCTAGAAACGTATAGCTTTATATTCAAAGCTTGCTATAGGTTATACAAATGGACTGGCTACATTTACAAAAGTTAAAAACACATTAGTAATCAGATTTCTCACACATCCATAATATATTTTTTGTACAGCATTTGCATATCCCAGTTGTCTTAAATTTTGACTCTCTTTGTCTTATAACTTGAAAGACCAAGCCATATTTACATGGCAATTTTTGATGGCAAATTACTGCCAGCTGAAAATAATAAAATTACTGTTGTGCTATAGCTCGATTCACTTATGTTAAACCAGCGGTTTGTGTGGTTTTCTAGATTTTGTTTGAAGATGACTCTGATTTAGATGGACCTCCTGCTGGTTCTCATGTAGAAGATGGTGGCCATTTGGAGTTTGCTTCAATGTTTGACACTCTCCACGCCGTGGACACACACACTAACTCTGGACTTGTTACTGACCCAGATTATGAAAAGGACTGTGTTGAAACACAGAGGAAGACTTCTTCTCTTCATTGTGAACTTAGGGAAATTCAGAGTAAGTTGCTAACAGCCTGGACATTTGGCATATCTCTTGGAAATGCTGTGGAACACAGAGGTCATCTGCTGAAACATACCCTCTACTGTGTGGTGCGATTTGTTGCTTTACTCCATTTGATCCCAAGCTCCATGGTTCACACAGGAAAGAAGAATACCTCAGTTTCTACTTGCATCCTGCACCTCCTCAAAGACATGCTTGCTTTTCTTCACTGGGATGGCCCTCACTCAGATGGAGCATGCTGCCTGGGACTGGTGGTAGAGTTCTGTAAAAGGCTGGTACGCCTGCTGGTGACCCCTCACCCTGAGTCCTACCAAACCGATCACCATCAGATATCATCTCAAACCCTATCCACAGCCCTGTCTGTCTTGCAGCTGGTCTCTGATTTTGTTGACCACACTTACAGCATGCAGCAAAGAACTCTCCTGTCCTCTGCAGAGGAGTCTCTTTCCCAGCCACCACAGCTATGGCCTACAGATGTGCACTATGTGGCTCTGTTACAGGATGAGAAGGAAGAGAAACCCAGCACCCTACATCAGATGCGCCCTGCTCCCCAGCGACCATCCAGCAGGTACAAACTGTCTCTTTTTTATCAGTATTTATGAACAGTCAATTATTTGTTGTTGTGAATGTCAGTCTTAGTCAGTACATGTCATGTTTTTAGTTGGGATTTCCTCTGTCTCAAAGTCAAACTAGACTGGAGATTTTCATTTTTTGGGGGGAGCAGATTGTTTGGAGCGTGGCAGTGGCTGTACAAGATCACCCAGCAGTATATGGAGGAACTGAAAATCTTTAAAAGCTATGATGGCTGGGAGGAGGAACAGCAGCGGGTGTCTGTCATCATGTCCCAGATCCAGACAGCTCTGCAGGCTGCAGGAGGAAGGCTAGAGGAGGGCCCCGCGCTGCTGAGTTATCCAGGTCTGAAACAGATGAACCATTTATCTAACTGTGGTGATTCTACCAGCTACAGGAAATAAATAAAACAATGCTTTTATAGCAATTGTTCAGTTTTATCTGTAAAGGAGATATGAACTGTTGGCTCAGCGGTGGTGTCTCTTATTAGGGTTTTTTAACTAATCTCCTCCCTTATTGCCAGAATCCAGAATCACTGTTCACTGATCAAATTTTTGGTCTGTCTGACTTTTTTTCATATGTTCTGGTTTGTTGAGCAGTTTGTCTTTTACTGTTCAAGTTTACTGTTCAGGCTCTTTTTCCCACAGGTGAACATCTTTTTCTGTGTGGCTTGTATTCAAAAAGTGCTGATGTGTGGCGGTCACAAATTTGTGAAGAGAGTAACAAAAGTAAGAATCATTGCTTCATTATTTCAGTATCATTACACCACATGCTCATGTTCAATTTGAAATTGTCATCTTATGTCTTTCTATAGCTTGTGATCGTAGTTTATTCCAGGAGACACGGCTTTGTCTGGCACTCCTGTATAGCCTGTTGTCCCAGTACCATCTGAGGGACGCTCAGGAGTTGGGGGACCACATGGCCTTCCTGCTACTGCACAGGGCAGGGAACCAGAAGGCCAACATGACCCGCAAAAGAGGTCAGCTTTTGTCTTTTAGAGTGTTTTCATATGAGCCATTTTATAGAGTCAAGTTGTAAATAGCTAACAGTCTGACTGACTGAAATGCAGTATTAACTTATCTAAAACATTAAGCTATAGACCTGAAGTGTGTGAGTATTCCTTAATTTCTCAGTAATTTACAAAACAACAAGCACACCTCACTGTGAAAGGAAGACATGTCAGTTATTAGCCCCACCTTTGTGTCTTGCACCAGATTCTCTTCCTTGCCCGTGGCTGCCAGTGAACCTTCACAGTGATGCAGCGCGTGCAGTGGTTCAGACCCTGGGGAGATTCATGGCCTCTTACTTCACCAACCAACCCCTCTACATCCTGCCCCCTCACAATGTGGCCATCCTGCCTCCACTACATTTACCTCATGGTGTGTTTCCAAAAATTAGTTAAAAGGGTTTTTAATATTGATCATTTGGTAATGAAATAATTTATAGTAATCTTTCCTCAGGCCCCCATGTTGGTCGCTTGGTGCCGCTGTGCCAGGAGGAGGTGGCTAAAGCAGTTCGACTACAGCATCTGTCAGAAGTATGGACAGTGGACTATGCCCAGGATCTGCTTTTGCTAGGGGGTCTGCTTCCTGAGACTACATGGTTGGCTTATCATCTTGGTGACTGGAAAACAGCAGTATCTCTCAGCCTGGCCTATACAAGCTACTGCACTGAACACTTCGACTTCGCTTGGTCAGTGTGAAAGCATATAATCACAGAGACAATGGTGGAAGTTTTCTGTTAATGTTGTCAGAATATATTACATCTGATTTCAAACCTTTACTAAATTTATTGTCTTGAATTTGTCCATGGCATCTTTTATGACAGGCTCAAGAGGAGAGAGATGCACCTCCCAAAAGATTTGGAACCAGAAAGCATTTTTCAGGCTGAGTTGGAGTGTCTGCTTGGCAACAAGTCTGACTCAGAGCTCAGAGACAAGGATAGTGACAAGGGCTTTACAGGTGTGTGTGTGTGTGTGTGAGCTGACAAGTATAAGATGACCACAGCACAAATAAAACCCTTACATTTTTTACCCTTTTATTATGTTTTGTCACAACTCTTTTTACTAGACCCTTTGGAAGGAGAAGACTTATTACACGTTTCCATACAGGAGATTCTGAAAGCATCAGTCATGGCTGGAGTGAATGTTATGTCTTCATCCTTGTCTTCTTTGCTGGACACAGCCAAAGACTTGTGTTCTTGCCTGCCTACATTAGTGCCCACTGGATTGTATCTGCCTTCCCCGCCTCTTTTTTGCCCTCAGCCTTCCCCCAACACACAGGTACACAACATGGAAGAATCAACTTTTACCTATTTTTCATATAAATTCTATAATTAAATATTGTGCACTTGTGTTTGCATCATTCTTAGGACCCAGTAGGGACACTAGGCCAGTTTGCAGAAGTTGCATCACGTCACAAAGTGTCTGGGGTTCTCCAGAGATTAATTTTACTTCTGAGATCTGCTCATTGCTGCCATCCTGCTTCCCAGTGGTACATCAGCCATCTGCGCCGTGCCAGACAGCTACTACACAAGGTACTATACAGGGCTGAATGTACTGTAGGCCCCTAAGTGTGGCTGACATTTTCTTAATGAAGGAGGTCAGCTACATTCTTCTTTCTTGGTTTACAAGACTGTTCTATTTTACCATACCTTGACTGGTTCATTATGTAAATAGGACATTAGAATAAAGAATGCTTGCTTGTGTCTTGTAGAATGGACTACCTCTCAGTGTTTAAAAGTTGGTGATTACATTTTGGTACCTTGCCATCTTATGCAAATATCTGATGTTGTTTTCAGATCAAGAAGAAGTACTCCTATCCAACAGCTGCTGATGAAGAAAAGCCTTTCCCAGAGGGTCTGATGAAGTTTGTCACCCGCAGGGGATTCTTCAGACAGGGGCCTAATAAAGATGGCCACTTGGACCCTGACACCATTCAAACTATTAGTAAGATGCTGCTCAGTGAATTATGGTTATCATACAGTAATGTTTTATTTACTATCAGTTAGTTTTTACTGGCTGTAATTCTGTCACAAGTCTGTTTCAGGGAGCTGTGTGGTTTATGCTGGATGCTGCATGTCAGGGACCAACTGTCCATTTCCTGCAGGAAGTATCAGGCTGTTAGACAGCACAGTAGAGATGAACAGGTATTACAACTGTATTTAAGTGTGTGTTGTGTTTATCTATAAATATAATATCCGTTGATGATGCCCTGTGAGTATTTGTGTGTATTTGTTTTGTTTTAGATCCCTGATGATTCAGAAGTGAGATTCGCCTGTGTTGATGCTCTCCGCTGGGCCTGGCGTTTTCTGCCTTTCTCTCGCTTTCTCAATGCTGAAGAAATCCTTCAGGACATAATACTCAGTCTTGTGTCAGAAATGCCACCCATCTCTCTGGTGAAATGACATTTTCTTGCCTTTTCTGATAAAGACAGTCTTTAGCTTTGTAAAACAGACTGACCTTCTCATCTTTGCCTGTTCGTCTTCTTAGGTGGCAGATACACTGGTACGAGCCTTTCCAGAGGAGGAAGCATCTGTCAGAGTCCCGCTGAGAGAAAAGTATAATTCTCTGCTGCAGAGACTGAGGCAATGCAATGTCCTTGGTATGAGCATGGTTCATTAACTTACTTCATTAAGTTACTGTAATGCTATTACAGCACTTAAAGGAACTTAGGTTTTTGGATATTGATTAATTTTCTTACTTCAACTTTTTTTTTTAGAGTTGCCTGATGGTCTATTTTATTATTGATTGTTCATTTTTTTTAACTATTAGCAACTATGGAGAAATCGTGAAAAGGCCTTCTGTGACAGCCCCAAAGATAATTTGTTACAGTATTTGAGCTGCATCATTAACACCAGTCTTTGTTCGGTTCTACTTTGAGTGTTTTATTAGCTTATTTTATATTATGTTTTGAAACTTATTGTTATTGGTTAGTCTTTGAATAATTTCAGTGGGTTTGTGTGATATCTGTTTTAAGTTTTATTGAGTTTTTCATGCTGTACATTGGATAAGGATAATAGGATAATCACCTTTATTGGCCATGTATGTTACACACAAGGAATTTCTTTCTGGTACAGAACCGATGTGCTGTACGAAAAACATTATTCATTATGCATGACTTCTAAACATATGTGATGTATTTATAAATGTCACTGTTATTCTTTATGTTCTCTAGAAGGGGAAAAAGAGGAGGTGAACGAGTTGATGATGATTCTAATTCAGGATAAACGCAGGCAGAGGGGAAAACATCTTGGTCGTTTGCAGAGGCACCTGGCCCCCCCTGAACTCCACCTGTGGGAGAAAGAGGAGGATGAGGAGGACAAGGGAAGCAAAAACGGGATGGGCACGCTAAGGCAACTCTCATTAGGTACAAGTTTGAGCACCAGCACTTTAACTGACTGTGGCTTCCCTCCAGTATGCAGTGATGCAGATACAGCAGAGAATACATCTGAGGCTATCACCTGTGAGCAGCACTGCCGACCAATGAGCAGGTAGCCAGCTTGATATAGTAGCACTGTCATTACTCTGAGGTATCGTACCTACAGTATGTTGCAGCTTATTCTTTGCTTTGATTTCTTTCAGGGGCAAAAACTCAAAAAAAGTAAGAGACAAAAAACATACAAAGAAGACTGCTGTTAAGACTGAAAGTATTATTCAAGAGGAGACTCACCCAGACAATGCCAAGGGGAATGAGGAGGTCCCCCTACCAGTGGTTGGCACTTGGGAGTTTGAGCTGGAAGATGATGAGTATTTAAACTTCCTGCAGCTCTTCCTCAGCTATGTGCTTGAGAAGAATAGTGCTGATGGAGGGGATTCAGGAAGTGGGCTTCCTTTGTTGAAGGGCTTCTCCTCTCAGCTGAAGGAGAGGGAGTTGCATTCTCTCACTTTTGATGTGCTCACAACCATTCATCGCCGCCAAAGAGACGGGCACCATCTAGGGAGGAAACACAGGAGCAATGACCTGCCGGTGTTCAGAGCTGGGTACTGCTACAAGCCCGTTAAACAGTGTACAACAACTGAACCATCAACTTCCTTTGTCTGGAGTGAAGCTCCTTTGTCCAGAACTAGCCTTTCTGTCAGCTCTCTTCCTGGGCTGAAAACTGGCAGACAGAAAGGTTTGTTTGGCTTTCGACAGCAAAGCAGTGTGCCTTCAGTCCAAAGAATGAAGATAGGCCACTCAGGTTCAGAAGCTAGCCCTATTCAAAGTGCTTTTACCATGGGGCAGCCATCGGAGATATTAACCTCCTCAACTCCTGTGGAAGCTGTGACTGAGCTGCAGCAGGACCTGGACCCTAAATTAGAGGCTCAGTTTCCAAAGCTTGGCAGGCTGCTGGAGTGGATGGTACGCTGGGCTGATAGGAGGGTGCTACTGGGACATCATGGCATAAAGAAGAAAGAGAGGGGAGGAGAAGTTAGAGGAACAGCTGATGAAGGAGTAGTGATTCGTGTCAAAGCTTCAGCACCTGCTATTCTCACCTCCCTCAGCTTACTGGAGCACAGGTACACTGCTCTACTCGGGACTGACAGTTACAGCGCTCACATCCAAGTTCCAGAGACACAGTGGACTGTGGCCCCTGTTCTGCAACCTGAGGTGGACAGGAAGCTGGAGAGAGAGAGCAGTGTTGATACAGGCTACCCTGGGTCAGCCAACACTCCCATCACTGGTCTTTATCACAATCCACAGCAAGAAGAACTGTCCATGTGAGTACCCTAAGTTGTTACTGGCCTAACTTGAAACTGGCATACACACAGCACATACAGCGGGTCTGTTTCTGCCACAAACAAAACAAAGTAGTTGACCACATGTCATGGAATTTGGTCATTGACAGACTGTGTGTGAGGACTGTGTATTGTCAGTGCATGTGTTGTTAATCACTGATGGTAAGATTTTGTATGCTCAAACCTACTGTATTTATATTTTATTTGTTTCCCTGTAGTGCATCTCATACAGATGAACCAGAGGAACTAACATTTCACAGGACACCTGTCCCTAATGCCCAAGATCAACTGACTTTTGACAATCGGATGAGACAGTCAAGTTCACAACAACCATCTCTTGATGATTTAGATGTTACACCAGAAAAAGAAGGTATAATGTGACATTTTATTGGTTAGTTAACCTATGTCTACATCTTATTAAGTCTATAAAGTGCACCCTCGTAACAGAGAATAGTAATTTATGTATTTGATATTTTGTTAAGGCAAAAGTAGTGACATCGAGGGACTGGATGTCTCGTCCTCTGTTTCCCACGGAAACATCAGCACATTTGAAACGGTGAGTACAGCTGCTAATATTCCCAGTCTTCATATGTGTCATCGAGGTTGTCAAAACAGAAATAACTGTTTTTGTTCTTTTTGTTTTTCATTCTTTGTTGTTTTTGTCCTTTCCAGAGTTTAAAGCTTGAAGATCTAGACTCATCAGAACCTAGTGAAGACATGATCAGTTCCATCTCTCTGTGAGTTTTGTATTTAAAATGATTGACTTGCCAAAAACATGCATGAAGGCATAAATGTTTTTGTCCAAGGAGCTGGTTCACTGTTACATAAATCCTTTAGATTTTAGGTCTGTCATGTAAACTATATTTGCAGATCATATTGATTATTCTACATCACAGTATACATTAGAACCATAAAATGAAGCATATGGTGGAACATTATTGAAATTGGTTGTTTATGCCACAGTCATTCTAGAAGCCTACAAGCCCCTCCATATCCAGAGCCCCAGGCCTGTTCTTCTGTCCAGCCTGAGGCCTCAGTTCATGCAGCGCTTTCTCATTCACCTGGACTGCCTCCCAACATGCCTGTAGATCCTCCAAGCCTTCATCCACAAAACTTCACAAGTGGTGTAGCCACTGCTGTTCCTACAGCCCCCAGTCAGCCAATGTCCACTGAAAATCCACCAATGAGACAGCATCTGGGTGAAGAATTATTCAGATTGGTCCAGGTAAGAATGTTGTTGCCTAAATTAAAGGTTTGGGCTTGATTGTTAAAATTGACTCTTACCTCAAGTGTTTTTGTTTTGTTGCAGCATATCAACTATATGAGCCTGATGGAGGTTATAGGAGCTTCGTTTTCCAACTTGCAACTTGCTCAGCAGAGCTCTCCTTTGGTCCAGTTTAACATGAACTCCTCACACCCTAATGTGCCATCATCTAATGCTGCCAATTACACCCCTCGAACAAATGCCTTACCTGTTCAAACCACCATTTCTGTGACACCTCAGGCACAAACCTGTGTGCCAAGTTCACAATCCAATCAGTTCAGTCAGACTCCTGCATGTATGTTTGCAGATCAGCCTGCTATACAGAGCTCAAAGAAATCCTTTCCAACAGGTGGCCAGCATCACACCCCAATAAATCTATCCTCCACTGCCCCTGGTGCAAGTGTAAATTATCAGGTATTGGCCAAATGTTCTTTTAAATTGTGACTGTTGTCTTTGTGTATAAACAATACCCAGTATTACAGTAAAACCAAGCTAAATACAGTTTTTCTTCTCTTCAGGAAATGCAGCCACTCTCTGTCCAGGCAGAATCACCTGAAATCCAGTTTAGGGGGTCAATCCCATCCTCCCAGGGGCTCCTGGCTACTACGGACATTAGTCACACTCTTCCCGGTGCCCCTGTGGTATTGCCTTCTAATAGTAGCATACAAAATGATCATGCTCCCCAGGTCTTGGGTCTGAAATTACTTCAGCTCCATCCTCCTCCATTGCCCCAACAGACTCCTCCACACTATCCCCAAGCCCAAGGGCCACAAACGCTCCACAGTAAAAACCCTGCAACTGTAGAATCCCACCAATCTAAACTTAAACACAATCATCAAGCTTCCTCAAAGAAAGCAGAAGAGGAAAAAAGAGCTGGATTTTCAGTTTCAAGACGACAACTCGGTTTTAATCATCCACATGACCTAACTCCCAGCAACTCTCAACCTCAGATTCAGACATCAGAGAGATTCCAGGGGCAAGAGTTTTTGCTGCTTCCTCCTGCTTTTCCAGCTCACACACCTGCACCATCTCAGAGCCTTCGCCTGTTGCACTTACAGCCTGCTCCACATAGCCACATCACATTCCCTGAACTGCCCATACCATCTTCTTGCAGGCCCTCTACTGTCATCCCAGCAATGATGCGCGAAACACCTATGATCAAGCTTTTACATACAGAGCCTGCACCCAAAATGGTACTTCCATTAATTCAGATAGTTAATTTATCCATAATTAAATGTGCATTGTAACTTATCTGTCTCTGCTATAGATGTCGCCCTTGGTAGCACCTTTGAGCCAAATGCCCCGTCTCTTCTCCATGGAAGAGTTGACGAGCTCAGTGATGGGGAGGCAGAACACTGAGGAGCATCAACTGCAGTTGCTCAGAGTAGAACCACCTACTGAAAACATAAGAGGAGCCGTTATTTCTCTAAGCCCTAACACCAGCAAGAGGCATTCACATATCTTAGTTTTCATGTTATTGAATTTCTTTTAAGGTAATTATTTTATTCGAAATACTTACTGTATGTTGTTTATAGGCAGAAGAGGAGAGAGGAGAAGGTGGGGAGGGCAAGGAAAACAAAGGTCACATTTAGGCCAGATGAGTCCATCATTCCTGCACCAGAGGTAGACTTATAGTATTTTTGGTAATAGACATGTTTTGTATTACTGACTGATAGATTTTCCATCACCATAATTTGTGCCAATATATCTACAGCCAACAGATGGTTCTATAAATGAAATGCCTGCAGCTGTAGACGAGATCACCCCTGGACAGGACATTGCCATTCAGCTAAGTTAGTGTCATATACAGTACATCCCTGCGTATGCAGACTGGACCTTATACTCACTTTCTTTGATGGTTCAGCACTGATCTGATGAAATGCATAGGAATCAAGTTTCTCTTGAACTGTCTTTAGTGATTTTAAGCCTCAATCATATAAGCAAACTTAATTGAAATTAATAAAGGATCTTAAAATGTTTGCTTAAATGTATTACTCATAAAGTAGTTCTTGACCATACTCATCAACTCATTATAATCCTGTTTACTGTTCTACGTACTTCCAGGACCCACAGACTCTTTGATGAATGGTCAGAGATTATTGGCCAAGGCTATTTCCACTTCAGCTGAGCTCCATGCCTTTGCTTCCACATGTAAAAAGCCCCCAGAATACCATGATGCTTCCACCAACACAGATGCGGGTAAAGTGAGATTTGTAACATACTGTTGATATTGTAATAACTGGGCATAGCTGTACAGGGTTGTTGCTTGTATTTGTAAATGAATCTTTTTTTCTTTCAGCCCGTTCTCCAACACGTGTGGATAAAGCAGTGTGTGCCTCTGTGGCTGTTAGTAGACATACATGTAAGTTAATTTGAAATTGCCAATACAAGGACAACACACTGCTTTTTACTTTTTGTAAAAATAAAACGAAGAGTTGTGTGTTTGTGTGTGTGTGTGTTTTCTCCATTCAGCACAAAGTTCGGGGAATTTCCAGATTTATAATGAATGCCCTGTTCATGATGCATGGGAGACCCCAAAGGAACCAGAGAAGATTCTGGTAAGAGGCCAGAAATACCAGGTGGACTACATATGGAGCAGTAAATCTTTGGGGCCTGTGAATGGTATCTACATAATCAAAAGATGTGTCTGAATAGACCATTCCATATAAAATTTTTAGTGAATTCATCATACAGAACATTAGTGTCTAGTATTATTATATTATAATGTGTGGAATGCACTGGCTGTCTTCTAATATGTCCACTGGAATTTGATTCGCAAACAACAGAACCCTCTGTTGTTGCATCATTTTATGCCATTTAATCTGTAAAATGTCTCAAGGCACAGAATTATGAGGTGTTTTTTCCCATGCAGTGACCATGGTCTCACGGTCTTACTTTCACAGCCATATTCTTTTACATTAAACTAGCAAGGAATTACTTTGACCAGTGGAAATTATAATACAGTTCTTTTCTGCTTCTCTGTCTTTGCCTCTCAGGATCCGGGTGGCCGTCATTTCATAAGTGTCTTGGACCTAGAAGACAAAGTGCTGCATCAGGATTTACCACCCTGCTCTGGAGTAGAGAATGTTCCTTCCGTCCGCCCTTCTTCACCTACTTCTGCTCAGCTTCATGTTCTTGCAACCTCTGTTATTAGGAGTACTGGTGCTGCTGATGATCCACAACCCTCAATCACAGCTACAGACAGTCTCATGGAACCTACCACTCACCCAGGTTTTTTATTCTGAAGTTTTTATATAGTTATATCTTTAAACTTACTATTATCAGATCTTTGGTGAAGCACATCACTGTTGGTAAAATCGGGTCTATATACAGTATTTGTTGTATACCCTAGATATCCCCAGGGAGTCGCCATCACTCAGCCACATTGATCCCAGTAGGGATCCAGAGGGGGTCACTCCACAGGACATGGCAGATCCATTTGACTCTGAGGACAATCAGGCCATAAAGATAGAGAGCGGGGGACCTCACAGAGCCTCCTCCACACCTCCTACAGTTTGGTTCTCCTCTCGCCTGTCAGAGCTGGATGCCCAGTTGGCTGCACTTCAGAACATTGCAGACCACCTAGATATGGACTTTTACAACTCTAGGATGGTACATATACCTGTTGTTGTTTTTTCTATTCCTTCTGCTTATATTTTTAATGATGCCTAAGTTTAAAATTTGTTTCTAGGGCTGACAAATATATTTAATAGATAATTCTTTGCATCTCCTGTTTATCTCTGAATAGTTGGTGAACACCATTGAACAGCTCACCCCAGTCTTGGATTCTGATGTGAAGAATACCATGGCAATGAAAAAAACTGTCAGACTGCGTGTCCCACAGGAAGGTATGACCTAGAATTATTCATCTGCATTGTATTTAAAATTACATTCCAAGTCCTTGAAACCCTTACATAAGAAGTCAGTTACAGCTCTAATAGAGTAATATACTGTGCAACACTGTAACATTATAAAAAAAACAAAACCATAAAACTGTTAATATCGTTTGTTTATTCTCTTCCTGCAACAGCATGGAGACCACAATCTGACATTTCAAATGAACCAACCGCCTGTAAAGAGGAAGAAGAATATATGGCTCACAGTGACTCCTACACTCCTGAAAGAAAGCTTTCTGTCCATTATTCTACTTCTTCTCACAGACAAGGAGCTGGTCCTTCCTTCCTTCACACCCCCCCAAGTAAAGATGCAGTTTATTCAGATGTTTCCTGAAAGAATATTACTAGTTAAACAAATTACATGCTATATTTATAACATTAATAGTTTATGGAAAGTTTAAAAATGTGCGCCGAAGTTAAAAGCAATGTAGGCTTTACACAATTTCCAGTTATGGTCCAGTAATACTTCGATGCCAAATACAGTTAAAATAAAATGCAGCATTTTTGTTTTTAATTTTATTTTTAAATAAGATTAAAGTAGGTTTTTAATAATACGGATGCCAACCAGTGCAGTTTTACTTCAGGGATTTACGTTAATTACTTATTCTTCTATACTCATATACATAGCTGCCTTCACAGTAAAGTCATAATGCTAAAAGTTACTATTTCACCTGTATAATGTTTGTATTGCTCCCACAGATAAGAAAGATAAGTTAACTGAAGCATCTGGAAGTTCTCATATGTAAGTTTAGGTTTATTCTGAAGTCTTGTAACCATGTTGTGAGTTACATCATCAGTTGTGGATCTTGCATTTTACAATTCTCTGCTATCTACCTGTCAATCTCTAGATGGGCAGATGAGAATCTGAGTCACACGGGGTTATCTGATACAGCGGAAATCTTAGACGAGTTGGTAAAGGAAGGATATTTATCTCCAACTGACCTAGATGTGTCCATTTCACAAACTACATACAGCAGCAGGTATAGTACCTACTACAAATTAGTGCTATTCAAATGGCAACGTAAACAACCATGATTATCCCTGAGCTGAAAAATATTGTGATCCACAGCAGACTGAATCAACAGAAAAGTAGCTGGATGTCACAGAAACGTGTCCTTCCAGAGGACGAGAGGAGAGAGCTGAGGATCTGGATGAGAAGGAAACAACGGGAAAGACTCGCTGTTTATCAAAAACACAGACAGAGCCTGAGGGAGAGGGAGCTCAAACCTTTCTCTATCTCTGGAACAGCGGTGAGATATGGTTGCCTTTTTATTAGAGCAGATATTCCAGCACATGTGACATTCTTTAACATTATATCCACATTGTTCACCTGCAATACTCTTGCTTGCTGCAGAAATCAGTAAACAGAAATCGTGCAACCATTTGGAGAACCAGAGAGGAGAAAGAAAAGTATGTACCTGTTTACAATATCTGTCCACACAAAACATGTATGTGTGTAACTGTTATTTGCATTTGGTTTAATAGGTTAATGCTTCTGGAGCAATACAACAAGAGGACCAATGAGGCTCGTTCTTTGGTCAGTGGCTTTCCCACCAGTCCTCAGACCATATGCAGTTCTTTACAGATTGGAGGTGCTCCAATGCCCTCAGCCACATGGTCCACCTCTGCTCAACCATCTCGCAGCACTTACAGGTCTCTCCTGCAAAAGTTATCTGACCAGGCTCTGGTCTCATTAAAGAATAATTGTTCTGTGATCTAACATTTAAATGAATCCTTAAACAATCATTAATTATTCCACAATGATCAGAATCTGTACAGACCCAAGGTTGTTTTGCACGTTCATTCTAAACACCTGGAATTATCTAGATTTGATAATGGAAGTAAAAACTTTTTTTTAGGGTTCACACTGTATCTGCTAATGATAAAAGAAGTCTTAAGTCCCAGTCAGGACAAACTCAGTCCCGCCCTCGTCCATGGACTGCTGAGGTGCAAGAACGTCCTTCGGAGGCTCACTGGAGGAGACTGGGGCTACATAGACCAGGTATCATAATGATATTAAAATATGTACTTTGATTAATAAAATCACTTGATGCTATGAGGAATATATTAAACCTGTTTATGTTGTGTGATTCCCCCCCCCCCATTTTTGCCATTAGTTACCTCTCTGCCAAGGGACCGTCTGTCTCAGGTGACCAGGCGTGGGATGCTCACTGACACAAAGAGCCACAGTAAACTGCACACATCCAGCCAGAGTGAGGAGAGGCTTGTCGGATACCAGAGAAGGATAGGACTGAACAAAAGTTCTTTAGGAGCAACCGCTGCAGGGAGAGAGAATCACATGGTGCAGACAAAGATGAAAGAAAGAGAAGAGGTGAACCTTTGGAACAACACTTCAGAAATGAATATGCCACCGGGCCTCAAGGAGTCAGAGTCTAATGTAGTAAGAATCACATTTTTCATCACACTTTCTGAAATTTTACAGGATTCTCACATTTAAAATTAAATGCTTTTGATAGATGATGTGGTGTCCCATCTAGATTCATACATTGTGGTACCCTTCTCAGGTTTTGGCTGGGCTGTTGGACGTCGATGGTTCTAGAGCTGGTGTGTCAGGGATGGACTGGCTGGACGATCTCTCTGAAAGCAGTAGGAGCAGCCTCAGCAAAATAGACTGGGCAGCTATTGAGAGAATGGTGGCTGCAGAAGAATCTTAAGCCTGAATAGACTTTTATTTTATTTTATGTGCCTGTTAAATAAAATATTGATTAAGAACACCGTGATCTCCATCCATTATCTATACTGCCTATACTGACAAGGGTACCCAGTGGAAGCCGGAACCTGACTCACTGTACGTTGGACCTGTGGGATGGAGAAGAAGTCTCCACTGTTTACTAAGGAGTCTATTCCACTGAGCTGCTCAGCCAGGGAGCTGTCTGCGCCATTGAAAAACACAAATCAAAAAAGGCGACACACACTTGTTTACCCTCAGTGATATATTTCATTCCTTAGCTCCCGATTCTGACATTGCATGTTGACTTACAGGTACTGAAGTCATCGTCACTGCGACATCTTTTCCATGGGCCCATACTGACAGTGTTGTATGCAAAGGGCAAATACAGTATACATTTTTCAGTCAAAATAGTGAAAACTACTGGTGGCTTTGTGGTTAAGTAGCATACAAAATAACTGTTGCATGCATCCCTCTCTTTCCCCACTACCCATAACAGGAAAAAAGTGCTGCTTGTGAACAGAGTCCATGTGGATAGAGATGGGAGAAGTTATCGATCACAGCACTACTCTAACTTCCCTTTATTGTGCAAGTTCAAACAGCTGATGTAGCATTAGACACTGACTTCCACCCACTTCCAACAACTTTTTACTGAAGCTGACAAATAAAACCATCGCAATGCAGTGAATCTAAGACAGTTGCAGTTAATAAAGACAGAAAATATGTGAGCTCATTTGAGTAAATGTTAGATTTTCTGTTAATATTGTGTAAAAACAGTAGATAAATACAGTCACGCTGCTTTAGTTTTCATGTTTTCCTGTGCTACACAGGGATTCCAGCATGCCTCAAAACCTTTAAAAAAGCTATGCACTCAACTGCCATTAACTTCAAGAGAATCAAATTACAGCAAAACAGTCAGCTCAACAAAACCCTCATGTATTAATGCATACACTTATTATGTGATCTGTGTTACACCAGTGCAAAAAAGGTCAACCTAAATTCAAATTCGATTCCCTCTTTGCTGCAGTGAAAGAGCTTTAAATAAATATTCAGCTAGTGAACATCTTAACCCCAAAAGGCACTCTGACATGAGAGAAAATCAAGCTTCTACTGACCAGCTACTTGTCTCAATTTAGAGCAAAGTAAACAAGGCTCTCACAGACAATAAGTCTGTTTAACATTCAGTGTGGTTTTTCCAGCATCACTGTTCCTGGGTTTTAGAAAGAATGCCAACATCTCACATGCTGACAGTTCACCACCAATTGATTCTTGATGTGGATCAAGTGAGATTTCAGGGACAAAGCTAGTAAGCAAGCATGTAAATATGAAGCGTAAGCAATGACTGACAGCCATAACAAAAAAGGTGTGTGAAGATAATGTCATTCATCCAGCAATTTAAACCAAAAAGGGTGTATCAATGTAAAAGCATGTGTGTGATCAATTGTGTGAGAGTTACTCTTTAAATTCAGGAGGAAGTCGCTTGAGAAATATATAGTCTAATTCTGTAGTGTAATTCTTCCAAGGTTGATAAAAACCCCGGCCCACATGCGTATGTTCATGGTGTGCACATGTGGGACACGAGAACAGCTGCCACCCTCATACATAAATCCAAGTAATGGTCTAGATCTGTGTGATTGCAGTACTCACACTTATCAAATCTCCTGCGGTGGAAGGTGGCTGAGTGGCACCATTTGCCACTGCCACTCACAGTGACCTTAAGTCTGATGAGCTGAGTGGGAAAGAATGTTACTGGCATCCTAATGAGGACTAGGTATATGTGTGTGTTTGTATGTACATTTGAGAGAAACTTCATAAACTGAGTCACCCTGTAATAGGTAGGAGGAAGGAGCCAAGGTACATATAGACCTGCAGACGGAGTTTACTTGAGATCTGCAGTGAGCCAACAGTGCTCCTCATTCATCAGAATAAATTCCAGCATCGTTATGAGGACCTCTGTTTCTTGTCTTCATTGCACAAATACACAGTGCTGCATAACCTTAATCCTGACATTTTTTTTTTTTACAGGCGACCCGTAACCAATGAACACGAGTTAAACGAGAAAAACAACCACAGTGACAATAACATTTGACACTCTTGAGATGATTTTCCTCATTCCCATTTCAACAAATTTAAGTGAATAAATCCACACAGATGCAAAATAGATATATGCTGGTACACACACACACACACACACTTGAACAGTCATTATAGTCTACATCTGCCATCACAGAGCACAAGACTGTAATTGCTGCTACCTATATTTTAAATTATCACTATATATCACACAGACACATTTCCAAAAAAATTTAATGCAAGCAGAAAACTTTTTACACTTTAAATTTTGCACCTCCTCATTGTTGAGCATCCTCTGGTGTTTGGCAGGGATATCAGTTTTCAATATAAGCTCACACTGTACTTGTTACTTCATGTTGAAAGAAAACCACCTTTTAATCGCTTGAATTTAACCACTTTTCCTTCCTGTTAAAAGCTTTAACAGAAACTCCTTTATATGTTTCTAGAAAGGAAATGCATTATATAGCATGCAGGCAGGTCAGCTGTGGCGCTACTGAGCTACGAACGCACCACCAAAAAGACAAGAAGAAGAAGAAGAAGAAGAAGAAGAAGAACAAGAACAAGAAGAAGAAGAAGAAGAAGAAGAACTTCCGGGGGTCAAAGGTAACGGTCGTATTTGAAAACATGGATCCCAACGAAGTGGACGAAGGTATCAGGTTTTTGCTATCATACGTATATAGTTTTGTGTATTAATGTTACACGGCTTACATACATGTGCAGCTATAAAGGGCATTAGTTGCCGTTTGTGTGACATTTGTCTGCCAGCTACTTTAAGCCAGCACGTGAAAAGAAGGACACTGTTACAGTTTTTGTTAGCATGTTTGTTATAGTATGGTGTCGTGGTGTTCACATCATTTAAAATATTTAATTGTCTTAAAAATTGCACCTGTAAACAAGAAAAATTCTTACCAGTGTTAACGTTAAATCTATTTTTTATTCAAGCTGAAATGACACATATTATTAGCTAACGTTAACAGCCAAGACATACTGATATTTTACATAAGAATTTTGTTATGGGTTTTGATGGAGACAGATTTTCATGCTTCTACAGATATAAAATTCCAAATATGTGGTACAGAGATATTTAATGCACCCTGTTATTTGTGTACATTTAACGATAGGTTACCCACATGAAACTTACATCCATGTGTTTCATATTGTTATAGTTTTGTTAATGACTATTGCTGGGTATCAGTTAATGAAAAGCCATACAAAGCATAAATAAAAATGTATTTACAAATCCTGTGTTTTTTAGACTGCCACAGACAGTAATGCTGGCTATAAAATGTTTTTGTTTGTGATTTTAATAAGGAAAATAAATTGTGCTTATAGTCCACTTATCTATTCGTCCCTCAGGTTTGGACTGCATATGCTTGTCCAGGTTGCATGTAATTATTTGATTATATTAGGAGTTATTTTATACAGCTGGGAAAGAATCACAAAAATTGCATGAAATATGACATTAAATAAATAATGTAAATTAAATTAAAACAGTAAATCAATTCAGTAAATTAATACTTGGCAAATAATTCCTGGCTATATCATCCCTACTGGTTTCCATTGATATTTTTTATACATGAAATTGGTATTAAATTACATTCTGTGTGACAATAAAGGTCCTAAAAAAGTGTAACTTGGTGAACCCTGCTGTTATTTTGATATGACAGGGTCCTTTATATTGTTGTTGAATTGTTTTACGGTTTCACAACTCGACACAGTTATACTCAGTATAATTCCTTTTCCTTAGAGGAATCCCCCTCCTTCAGCAAAAATAACCTTTCACAGGATCAGTTGTATTTGAATCTTCTTTACTTACAAAGTAAACAACACAACCAAGAGAGCTGTACCCTGTATTTTTTAACATTCAGGTAAAAAGCAAATTGTAATTTTTAATACTGTACTGGCTTTTTTAGCATCATCCAGCAAGATGAGTGGTGGTGGAGACTTTGCATCTGTCATGGGATTTTCTGGGTTTGGTATGTAAGGTTCCACAACCGTAGTCAGAATTCTGACATGTTTATTTTATTAATTGGTATTTTATAAATTATAAAATACCAATATGAGTTCTGAGTTCATTGTTGTTTTTTTTTCCAGGTAAGAAGGCCCGCACTTTTGACCTTGATGCCATTTTTGAACAGACACGACGCACAGCCATTGAGCGGAGTCAGCATATAATAGGTAAATTTATTATCAAGCAGCATATGTTAAGCTGTTTAGTAATCATTTGTTTGCCAGCAAGCATGTAATTGTATTTGTGGTATCCTTAGAGGAGCGAGAGAAGGAGAGTCAGATGGAGGAGGAAGGGGAGAGTTCCAAGGCAGTCAAGTTATCAGTCCACAGTCAGAGAGACAAAGCTGCAGCTGCTACTTCCAGGTCACATGGGATTTCTGAGTTTTTGTGTTTGAGTGAATATACAATTATACAGTTCAACTGTAGGATACATTTTTTGCATTGTCTGAAAATTCTATTTTATTTTCTCTTTAGAAAACAGGAGAGTGAATGCAGCAGTGACAGTAGCTCAGACTCAGAGTCAGAGCTTATTGGGCCTCCTGTACCTCCTCAACATACAGTGGAGGAGGAGGAGGAGCTTGTGGGGCCACCTCTCCCACCGGGTTACACAGGCAGCACAGCTTACAGTGATGATGATGATGATGAAGAGCAAGCACAAGATGACGACGATGATGATGATGATGTATGTCTGAAATGATCCATTTAACACAATTCATAACATGAACATTTAAAAAAATATTCACTGTAGTTCCAGGTCCTGAATCTGGTTCAATTTTTATTCTGTTAAAAACTCCCCATCTGTCGTCTTGCTCTCGCACATAGGTTTTTTGCTCTGTTCTATTCATATGTCTCAGGAAGACATGACGGCTATAAAGCATGCACAATATAAGGATAAATGGAATCCAGCCATCATTAATTGTATTACTTACCCTGCACTTTTCCTACGCTGACATGTCAAAATGTCTTCTTAAAAAGGTCTGTAAAGACACCAATTTGTGCTGTATTTTAGGTGTTTTTAAGATTTCACCACTAGATGGCAGCACAAGCAAATATAGGCTTTGATGTGAGTTACACTATAAAGGATGAGACAGCTGTCATGCTGAGTTGATGAACAGTAGTACTGTTGATTCTTTGTAATTATTTTATTTCTCAGGCTGATATTTTCCTTCCACCTAATATGTTTCGGCATATAAAATGCAGCATTACTCAAAAATGAGGTGATATATTCGTTTATGCAGTACAGTGATATATGTTGCAGCCACTGAGTGAAGTGCTCGTTCACTTTCACTAGTCAGTAATTTACAGCAGATGACTGTGATTCCTGACTTTTTTTGTCATGCAGCCAATTACACTTTAAATATCATGTGTAGTGGAATGAAATGCTACATTATAACCACACATCTGATTCACCCTTATCTTCTTTTACTGCTTCCTTTTATTCATCTCAACATTCTTCAACAGAATCCAGTGAAGAAGATTCCAGACACTCATGAGATCACTCTGCAGCATGGCACCAAGACGGTAAGAACTTCTACTTTCAGCACTTTTCAGCCAAGTTTACATAACATTGTGTTGAATTTTTGCAATAAGAGCAGCAGCAAAACTGTTTTGCTTGATTTTTTGTAACAGTGAGAAAAAGGGGTGAATTTTGTTTTGAGTTCTCTTTAAATTTAGTGATAATAATATAATTTAAAAATGAATCAGTCAGGCTTAGATTCTGTCTTTTAGTTGTATAAATAAGATGGTTGTCTCCTCAGGTGTCAGCTCTTGGCTTAGACCCTTCTGGAGCCCGTCTGGTGACTGGTGGAAGTGATTATGATGTGCGGTTCTGGGATTTTGCTGGGATGGATCAGGCTCTGCAGTCCTTCAGATCCTTGCAGCCCTGTGAATGGTGAGTCACTTTCTGAGAACATCAACACAGTTGCTTAACATTTGGTTAATTAGTTTAATACTAACATCCCGCACACTTTTTGCATATCTGTGCCAAAGTGTACACACATAAACAAACACACAATTGTTGAGCTTCATTAAGCCTCATGTTAACTCTGACATCCTTTTTTTTTTTTCATTCAACATGAGACTTTCAAAAGCAGCGGGGTCAGATATGTGGGTGTTTGTGTGTCTGCACATATTTATTCTGTGTTTCGGTAAAGCCATCATCAAAGATTAAACCCTTTTTTGGTTTTGGGAAGGAACCAGTGGGCTAAGCTGGAGCAGGCTTCCTCATATAAACAAAAATATATTCCACATTTAATATGATTACATTGTGATCCATTAACCTGTTTGGTTGGCACAAGATAAGCTTCATATAGAAAGCTGTGCTGCTGAGTTTCAACTTGTGAGCTATGCTATGTAGTGCTTCTTGCTAAAAAAAAGCATCGATGCCAGCCTCACTTTCAAGAAAAATTACATATCCATTACAATAAGTCCTATATACACATATAAAGTGCATACCTTACTATTTTTTTGTCCAATACATGTCTGCAATAACAGGTTTCATTGTGCTCATTAGCTCTGTGTTTTTCATTATGTTCTCTTATGGTTTAGTGTGTTGCTTGTTGAAGATCAAACGGACCAAATATCAGATCAACATCAGATGTTGTGTTGTTTTGTTCTTATAGCTGCATGCATCTACTGTTTGCTTTTGTTCCTGGTCCTTTGAAGGAGTAAAAACTTCTTCTCTAACAATGGTTTTGGTCCAGAAATCTAGTACAATCACAGCTTGTAAACAGACAGCAAGACACTTACCAGAACTTATCAGCACCACTGAAATGCAAAGTAAAAGTTTCTTCTTTGCGTCAGATGTTCTCTTTATGTGTGTTGCACGTGTGTTTCCCCTCAGCCATCAGATCCACTCCCTTCAGTACAGCGCCACTGGAGATGTCATCCTGGTGGTTTCTGGTAACGCACAGGCCAAGGTGTTGGACCGTGATGGCTTCAGTGTCATGGAATGTGTGAAAGGAGATCAGTACATTGTGGATATGGCCAACACCAAGGTATGCCAAAGCAGTGCTCGTATTTACAGTCCAGACTGTACATATTGGGGTGGTTACTCGTTCTTTTTTTTTCTTCTTCAGGCTCTGTGCTTCAGCACACTCAATTTAAAATGAAACAGTAGCTACTATGTTAAAGCCATTCCAGGCCTCAGCTTTAATTTGAGTAGGTTCATGTCAGTATAGAGAGAACTGTATACTGTAGCCCTTAGCCACACATTTCTTTCTATATTGATGTAAACATACTCAAAGCTGAGACCTAGCACTATAATGTAATGCCCATTATTTATTTCTGTTTGAATGTGCTGAAGCACAGTGCCTGACGTACAAAAAGGCATAACTGTTCTATTACTTACTTTCAGATTAAAAGATAAAAGTTGGGTTTTACTTTGTTGTTTTGATTCAGTTGATTATGTTAATGCTGTACTCACCCCAGTGTCATGGCTACAACTATCCGTTGAACCACGAAGTTCATCTGTAGACTGAAATAAATGTTTACAGCAGAGATTTTAAAACATTAAAATTTCACTTTTTTTCCTAAATAAGCTTAACTAATCTGGGGATTTGTTTAAAACCTGCCTGATCATCTAACTGCTCATATTTTTATTCTTTCCAGCTTCTTTTCAGTGACAATAAACTTAGTATAGTGTTGTAATTACCTATTGAAACAATGGCCAAAACTATAAAACACAGTGAATTTAATAAACTGGCATTTATCTTGAACATGTTATAGGTATGCAAGTTTTTATTTGTATAGTGACAGCAGTATGCCCAAGAGTGACTGCTAACTCTAAACACAGGCTGGATGGATGCTTTCCTCTGCTCTCTGGGTTAACTCTGCCAACTCATAATAGTAGCAAGGTGTAGCTATGAGCTGGTCTGTTTTTGTATGGAAGGATAATGGCCTATGCTGTGTGACCAGCCAGAGGCAGTATTAGGGAGAAGAACACATGCTTCCAAGGTTGTTGCGGTTGATCTCTTGCTTGTTCTTGGATCTACAAAGAAGGATGCTAATTATGTGTCCATGTTTGGCTTTTACTGTGTTTTAAAAAGCTGTGTTGGTGGTTACTAACCATCTGTGCCATCTGCAGTGCATTTAAACATGGTTAATACCACCCATATGAATGACTTGAATAAGTGAAGTCCCATTGATTGCAAGTAGTGTTTTCCTGGATGTCCTACATTCCTGTCCTGCTCAGCCCCATCTGGAGCTGATGGGAGGGTTTGGGTCAATGAAAATGTGTTTTGGCCTGCTGACAGCATCCCAGTCGATTAGTTGCGTCACATGTGATTATTAAGTCCTTGCCTCCACTCTACCTCTGTTGACAATTACTTGCCTCTTAACTCATCCAGAGAGATTTGCAGTAGGATGAGCATGCAAGTCCCCAGTTAGTTAGCTTTTTGTTATCAGGAAGCGTTCTGTTCTTGGCTCTGTTTGTCATTAACATGCTCTATTTGTGTTTAATGTCAGGGTGATTATCAGGCTGTTTCTCTTGAGTCTTTGGCAATTTGTCATCCTAAACTGTTAAGGAAGAGGAATCAGATTTGTTTATGAAGGTAGTGGCTCCTTCACCCCAATTATGAAGCTCTTATGATGGATGATTCTGTTTATTTTGATGTTATTGTACAGAGCGCAGAAACATGTGAGTTGGTCACAGCCCATTTGAGCTTTAACCTCATCAGATAGTAATTGTGCACTTTACCCATAAAATTTAACAACTTGCCAATTTGTTTTCAATCCTTTTCAGTCCTGGAACAGCAAGAGCTAGGCAGGTCTCTTTAATTGATTATTAAAGTGGAGTGTTTAAAGTATTTGACAGTGAACAGGCAGACCTCTCGTCCTTATGCCCACATACCCATTTCATTTGGTCAACTTCTGTTCAGGCAAGGCTGTGCTTTCTTGAGCTTCCTGTCAAACAGCGGTATGTCAAGTGTTCCTCTCTGACCAGGCAGTGGGGGAGGGCTCTGTCTGGGTTATCCTGCTTTGAAGTAATTTGTTTTGAGTATTTCTCTACAGGACTACCCTAGCAGAGGAAATGTTTAAAAGTTAAACTGTTAAAAGCTTGCTGTTTGAAGCTATGACACAGCCTTCTGCACTGCTTCAGAGTTCACTGACTCAGATGTAAGGCAAGGCCAATGCTGTGTATCGCACTTCGATACTTCTATGGCCTTGGTCGATATACTCCATTAACACCGAGTATCAAAAAATGTCAAGCATTGACGAGAAATGCTTTTCTACATTTTTATTTCTTGGTCGATATACTCCATTAACACTGAGTATCAAAAAATGTCAAGCATTGATGAGAAATGCTTTTCTACATTTTTATTTATTGATGTTAATGTTAACAGAACTTAAGGATGTGGTAAAGAGGAATAAAACTGAACTGTACCAAAATGTGTTCATTCATTAGACAAAACATTTGAGTAAATTACATAAAACACTGAATATAAATTAAAAGCAACAATTACATGACAGCACACAGTAGCAACATGCATGAGCAGGTACCTAATATTATTAGGAAAGCTGTGGCAGACTGTGGATTCTCACTGTTCTCATTATACTTTGTACCCCTTTACTCCACTCTCCCCAAGACTAATCTTTGAGTACCTTAACATCAGAGGGAATGAGGGACACTAGTGTCTAGTCAATACGATACGACACCACACTATAAGGTGCATTCAGATGAAGTAAAAGAATTAATAATTGCTGGGATCTTTTGCACATGTCTATGTGGACACAGGGTTGATGGTGCACCGTACTACATCATTCTGAAACTGCATCAGCATTCTGCACAAAAACCAAAGAGCACCCCTGAAATAATTTACTGGTGGCCCTTTATGTAGCAGTTTTGGCTTGAGATTTAACAATGATGAACAACAGGTGTTTTTGCACATAATTTGTGTGGAGCAATACTGTAAAATAAATCCACATCATTAGTTCCTCTTGACAACCAGCTCTTACTGGTTTTCAACTGCTACAGCTGGACCCTAAATACTAAATGAGTTTGGAAACAGTTTTAGGGTAGATGGCAACTAAATGTTCACGGTGCAGACTGGACCTACAATAAACCACATGATTCACTGAATGTGCTCAACCTCAAAACAACCGGATGCTAGAAACTGGTCAGTAACAATTTAGTGACTGTTAAATGTATATGGTTATATTTCAATTTCTGCTCTTTTCAGGGCCACACTGCTATGCTGAATTGTGGCTGCTGGCATCCCAAGATTAAAGAAGAGTTCATGACCTGCTCCAATGATGGGTGAGTTTTAAATAGCTGCTCTGAGCTGTTGTACAAAGCCTAATACAGCATAAACAGTCATGTATAATCATGTGAATTGCTGTAAAGACAAACACTTGCCAAAATGCTACTACATGTCTGGGCACAAATATTAAAATGTGTCATTACTACTAATAATTATTTAAGAACTTTGGAATGGATCTTAACAGTATCTGCTTAAATGAAATGAGAGATATGTTTATAAGTACCAGAAATACTGTACGCTGCCTCTTTTCTTTTATGACAGCACTGGCTGTTTTTAACTGTAAATAATAAATCTCACTTTTTGTGAGATTTGGTGGTTGTGGTGCCTATTTAATGATGACATTCATAGACACACCTACTGAATATCATAATTTACTTATCCATCATTTATTTGGATTCCAGTAACCTGCTCATCTAAACAGACTTTCCTTTACTCTCCTCTGCTTTGTCACCAGCAGGGACTCTTTTAGTCCAGACCATGCCTCTGGAAGGGATAGCTTGACCTCACAGCTGTGCTTTGTCACATGGCACGTTTTATTTGGGATGCTGTCCAAATGTAGCTTTTCATTTGTATGCAGTAATTTGGACCAGAGCAGTGCTGCTGGAGAGAGAAAGATGTCACATACCCATACATATTTAAAGTCTTTTTATTCTAGTTAGCACAACTTTATCAGTCAACTGCAAAAGTTGTAAGCCTCTGCTTTATGCATAGGTGTGTGCAAATATTTGTGACTGAAGATGTGTGTCTTTGAATGAGATCACAGTGATGAGTCTAAGTGACTGTGACAGGCAGCAGTGCAGAAACCAAGGGCTATCATCATTAAGTGGAAACAATGGCACTACTTTGTGGGCAGGCCACAGCCCAGTGTTTACGAGTATTACTGCTCTCCCAGATGTGGCGGTTGGTTTATTTTGCTCTTACAGAGGCTCTGGAAATCATCCTCTGGCACGTTAACACCGGGTGTCGGCCCTGGCCAGCTCACAGGAGAATAGTGAGCGTACAGGGAGCCATTCACAAGCAGAGCAGCTGCATGTGAGGTGGTTTCACAGTAGCAGCTCAGCGTAGCAGCCCGCATCTCAGAGATGGGAAGAGTCGGTGATGAAGAGAGGAAGGCATTGCCTGTAGTTATAGTTGGAAGAGGTCAATCTAACCTTTGTTCTCCCATAGTGCTCTGTTACTTATCATGTTGGCAATGTGTAGTGCAGCGCAGGGGTTACCGTTGATTGTGCTTTACTTTCTTGGTGCTTCTACTGCCCCTCAGTTGTCTCACTTGTTGATTCAAAAGTCTTACTTATATCTCCAGTGAATTTCAGCAGTTTTTTTTAAGCATCGTCAGCATTCAAGATTTTACTATGCATGTATTTTTAGAGCATACCTGCTGTGTTTGCATGTTCAGCTAGACAAAAGGCAGCCAGGTATTTGCTGATCATCCAGATATGTGGGGGGTTTGCATTTTACTAAGCAGATTTATTCTTGAAAATTGGAACTAGGGCTATCTGTATTTATTTCTTTCTAAAACTTTTTTATGGCCTGAATTGCTACTGTCCCTTACTAGGTGGACCTTTGGGGTTGTGGGGACAATGTGCAACCTGAGGATACTGTAGGCTTTCAGTCCACATGAATTAGTCACTTCCTATAGAAGGATCATCAATCAATGTATTGTTCTTTCTTTCCCCTAACCACCATCTCATGTATGCTGCTCTGTCTACTTTCATGCCATCGTTTGCATAAGTATGACCTCCACACAAGCTAGGCAGCGTTAGTGGGCCCCTTGTGACTACACCAGCTGTTGGCCAATAGTACCAGTGGGTCCCTGCTACTGGCTGTGTCTGCTTAAACATCAGACCAACACCTAGATTTCCACAGGTCTTTCTTCCTGTGTCAGCCTAGTTAGAGTCTTTTGTTGTGTTTATTTGAATAGGTTATTAAGCATGGTCACTGGACCGCCCAGCTCCTTAATTAAAGGTCCTCTCAGTTGTATGGAATCTCATTCATGAGAACTGCCCCCCCTTCTCCTTGAATGATTTTATTAACTCAGACTTTTTTTTCTCTGAGTGGAAGTGGATGAGAGGGATGCACTGATAAAGTAGTTTAATAAAGCAGCAGCAGGGTGGTAGTGATTGTCCCAGTACACTGAGGGTTGAAAGGGACTTGGGGAACTATGCAACTCAAGTTGGTCAGTGAAAAGCATTTCTGCTCAGACTTGTGTAAATGTGTCAGCTTTTCACAGTTTTCATTCGTTTCATTTTAGATTTTGTACGATTGTATGTTTTCCAAAATTATTCAGGTTTGATCCAACAAGGCCAAATGCGTATTAAGCATAGAGCCCATTCAGCTAAGTCTTTGCTGAAAGACTGAGCACCTGTTTGAAAACCACAGATTTATTTCTCAGAAAGTGAAGGCAGTACGTGCTGGGTCTGTTCCCGGTGGAGCCAGTTCTTTGGCAGGACTGAACTTGAAGTAAACTAAAAATATGGCTGAGACTTTGTTGTTAGTATATTTTGAGACTTGTAGTCCTTTCTAAAGGACAAAATGTTAAACAGTAATACTTAAAAATCAAGTGAATGAGGTCAATTAAAAGTAATCAGACTTTACTGTCTAGTAGTGTCAAAAACTGTAACACTGTGGAAAACTTTATGTGGTGTTATAGTGGCCCAGGAGTACGATCAAAAATTCATGTTATGCTCTTTTTGTGACTGAAATTTCAGCCAGTGGAGCAGAAGATAGGACAAACTGCGACTTTCTAATTGGGCCCACATGTTACTTCTGTTCGGTCTGGAGACACACTTGCACATGTACACACACTAATACACACAATTTGAAGAATGTTTCCAGGAGGTTTGAATACCAGGGATTCCCTTCGTGCTGGCCAGGGCTGCAGCTGGACTTGGACGTGTAGTTGTGTTCAAGGAGACCCAGAGGACAATATAGCAGTTCCTTTTACCGCTGAGGAACAAAGTGTATGTCTTTATTGTGGTCTCCAAACAAAATGTGTCACATTCAGGAATTATCATTGGAGAGTATTCACAAAAATCCATAGTCACACAAAGCAGATTCATGACCTGCTGTTTCGATGAATCGTTGTAGTCAGTGATGCTTTGTTGCGCTGTAGTAGCCAGCATTTGTGCTCAAAGTGTTCTTTATAGCTTTGTGTACATTTGTATAAGTCCTAGCATACTGATCTTGTCATCTAAGTAGGTCAGCTATTTTCAGTGCTGTCAGCCAAATGTTTGGTGATAGCTTACTTTAGATTTTTTGAGGAACAGAAGCATTACTGCTGGCCAACTAAGTGAAATCTGCATGACCAAACAGGGATGAAGAGTGAGGACAGACACTGCAAAGTGTGTGTGAGCATGTTGGGGCAATTCACACAGTTTGATACATCTGGTTCATCCACAGTCCAGCTCGTCTCCAAACGTTTCCTGCCTTACTATGCACTTGTTCCATATCCTGGCCAAGGACACACATACCATACCATACCTTACCTTTAAGGAGTCATGTATCCTTCTTTGAAGAAAATTTATTTTACAGTCATAGCTGAAATTTTGAGTGACAGTATCTTCTGGCTCTGTTGTGTTTGAATACAGTATGTGATTGTTATTTTACAGAACCGATTATCAGGATACGTCCTTATGAGGAGGAAAGTACCTTATCAACCAGATTGCTTGATTTAAATCTGAAGTGCTGTCTTTGCTTCTTGTAGTCCTTGAGTCAGGCATTTTGTACACGTGGTCTCCCCTGCACTGCTATAAGGCCTTTTTAGGATGATCTTGTAACCTGAAACCACACTAATGATGTTGTGAATTTGCTTGAACCAGCATCTCATCTCCTAATCCGCCTTTCTCATAACAGAGCCCCAGTTAATCAGTCAATGGGCCATCAGGCACAGTCCCCATCACCAGTGTTTGACCAGTAGACAACCTTATACAGAATGTACACCTTTCTTTTCACTCTTCCTTATCTCGTCATCTGGGAAACTGATCCTAGCATCTATCACCCCCACCGGGTCTATAACCTGATGGACAGATAAAATCTGGGGCCAGGGGAGTTGTCACTCTTTAGTTGATGTGTGAATGACTATGCTACTTGTAAAGCGCACATGCATGACTGACAATGTATGGGCCTCATTTTATTACATTCACCCCTCTGCCTGTGAAGCGTTTGTTAGGGAAAAGGGGGCTGCTGATTGAAGGGAAAACAGACTTGAACAGAAGAGGAAAGGGCAAAGGTACTGTCCTTGAATGTTTTTGGTGTTTGTTTTTTTTCATAGCACATATTAATATTTTGGCATCTAATATTCTTTCATTGCTATTGCCTTTACAAAACAACCACCTTCCCTGTTTAAACAAGGTTTGAACCCCCAGATATTTTTCTCAGAATTTTAATTAGGTTAACAATTTTAGAACACCATTTTAGAGCTGACAACTTCCCCTTCCCTGCTCTGCTCTGTCTTCTCTGACAGGTGACGGTGTGCAGTTTTTGTCCTGTGTTCATGGTTGGCTCAACACTGGTGGGCTCCAACCTCTGCTCTATTCGCCTGACAGCCCGCAGTGCCATGTTTTGGAAAGAGCCCTTATGATAAATAGCATTCCAAGTTTTGTGTGCTACGCAAAAGGTTATGTTATCTTTATTGGCTTGACAGACGCCTGCAGGCTTCTATAAACAAAATAGAGATGTCTCTGTGAGGCAGCAGGTGGACTAATTTGTCATCTAGTCCATGGCTATCACTCTCTTTCACTCTCACACACACACAGCCCCCAGACTCTTTTATATATGTGGCTTTTGCACCTTTTTTCCAGCAAGGGATTTTTAAAAAAATTCACCATCAGCTTCGTTTTGTGTGCGTTTAAACAGAACTATGCATCAAACAGAGTTTTATTTGACTCTTGGCAGTTCTCACTCAAACCATATGTCTTCAGCTGGCATTTGTTTCATGTTGTTGCACTTATCCAAACACAGTTGAGTGTGTGTCTGTGACTGTGTAGCCGACCATGGAGGAATCCTTGCGTGGCTGTTAGTAGCAGCCCTGTCTGTGTGTTTATACTCTTCTGCTGACCTCATGACCCAGAGGTCACGATCCTCCTCCTAAAGCAAGCAGTGGGTCACAGACATATTTGAACACACTGTGTGGCATGAGTGTTGGTGTGGGTATGTGAGAAGTTGGCTAAACATTTCTGTGTCAAGTCACATCCTTTAATAAATACTGTGGAGCTTTATGTCTCTCTTAAAGGCTTGTAGAACTCTTAGGCAGTGCAGTTTGTCCTTTTTGTTATCATTTGTGTCTTATTTTGGTCTGCTCGTACATTTTCCCCTTTCTCTTCATATGTTAAAAAAAAAAAAAACTGCAGCTTCTGTTCACTGTTTTTCTGATGATTGCACAGACCCCAGAAGCTTAAAGAACTAGGTGAATGAAAAGATAAGTGATGCTACATTACATGTTAAGATGTTTTTTGCACCATCCTTTCCTTGGACATCCTCCACACAGTGAGCCTCACCTATAGGGTCAATGGGGAGATGTTCTACCTTGTTTTAACCTAAGCAACTTGTTCTCACATCATTGTCTACTACTGAAAAATGCTTGGACCAGCCTACATAATCTGCTTGTGCCAGAGATTTCAGCATCAGCATCAGCTTTATTGGCCAGGTGTGTCAGGCACACGAGGAATTTGTCTCTGGTACAGTGCTTCTCAATGTGTACATGCATATCAACAAGCAAAGGAGGGAAGGGACCAATTTATTTTTTCTTATTATTATTCTACATGATAGTTCACACTACGCATGTCAGTTGTTTCATTGATGATTGATAGAAGCTGTACTGTAGGACTATCTCTTTATTTTCAGTCTTTATATGTACGTGTGTGTACTGTAAATACAGCATTTTACTGGCTTGATGTCAGAATTGTGTGATGTGTGATATATAAACCTGTAGCCGTCAGGAAATTATTATGCCCACATCCCTTGACTTTTTTTCAGTGAAAGCCCTTTTTGCACATAGTTCTCCTCCTTTGTGGTCCAGGTTGTGTAATGTCTTCAGTGGGTATAGGAAAGAAAATCAGGATTTCACAGACACTTCAGACATGCCTCTGAGACTGAGCTACTGTTTTGCTGTTTGCTAACCCCATCACCCCAGAACACGTAGCTGCCTAACTTTACATTGATGAGAATGACTCGGGTACTTGTTTCTCTGTATGATTTTGATTTACTATGGTGGTGGATGGTGTTAATGACCAGATGTGTTTTGGGGTACAGATATTTTATGATTCACGAGAGTTTGGTGAGGATAAATTAAAATTCTCTGTCTGCCTACAGCACTGTGCGCACTTGGGACCTGAACTCGGAGAAGAAGCACAAGTCTGTTTTCAAACCCCGCTCTCTCCAGGGGAAGAAGGTCATTCCCACATGCTGCACCTACAGCCGAGATGGGAAGCTCATTGCAGCAGGCTGCCAAGATGGTACCATCCAGATCTGGGACAGAAACCTCAGTGTGAGTCTTAAAACACATATATACCAAACACCACAATGTGCACTGGATTGTAAACACAGGATGTCTGTTTTTCTGTGGTACAGAGTCATAAGACTCAAGTCATCCAGTCACAGGCCAGAGAAGTCAAAGTTCAAGAAGTCACTAATACGACCAGAAATCAAATGTCTGGCTTTAAAATACATACATGTATGTCCAGACAGGCAGTAGTTGGCCTGTCTGGCCTGTGTTGACCTGGTTATCACACTAACCAGGTACATTGGTACAGTGGTGCATTGAGCTAAGTGCTAATCAGCTTTCCGACAAATGGCAATGCTGACACGCTGATGTTAATAATGGTATTTTCTATGTTCTCAATCCTAGTTTAGCTTGTTAGCATGCCAGCATTTGCTAATTAGTGCTACTGTAGCAGAGGCTGAAGGGAGTGTTATTAATGCTGTAGGTATTTGGTCATAATACAGAGTGTTGGATTAATTCAGTTTGTTATGTGTGAGTTGTATGAAAGTGCCTCGGAGGCCCAGTCACAATTTCACTCTGTAGATTTTCCACTATTAGACAATTAAGTGATTAAAGTGTTCCATTCAATTCTTCAAGATTAAGATAACTGAGGTAATAGTTGATCTTGGCTCCTGAGAAGCATTGCTTTCACTTATTTGGCTGTTTTCAATTGCGCTGTTGGGGGGAAAAAATCATCACTGGAGGCTAAAATGATAAAAATGATTTCCATTCAGGGTTGGAGAACCTTCTCCATCCTTCATCGTTGGTGCAGTTGAATGTTGTTTCACCATTGCTTATTCTTTAACCCCTACCTGCCTGTCTACCTCTTGATGACTCTACGACGGACACCTCTCTGGTCAAGGTCTGGGCAGAAAAAGGACACAACCTGCTGTTATTTCCTGTTGATCAGTGACAGAGCAGGTTTGCCAGTTTATTGCTCCCTTGTTTTTTCACACAATAGACTCGGCGCCATATCACAGATAGGAAGAGGAAAAAAGTTGGGGTGGGGCATTTTTATTGAAGAGGGGGCTTAGGGGCCCTGCAGCACTCATAATTCAGTATTTTCAAAGGAGAAATATTGCAGGCACCATTCCAGTGTGGTATTGTTTTTCATTATGGCTAGCTCTTCTGAAAGTTATTCATTTGGGAGTCCTAAAACACTATAGACCCACGTTTTAAATGGAAAATAAAACTGTTGGAGGGCGGGTATGAGTCCATTTTCATGGAGAATAAAAAAATTGTTTTTCTGTTCTCAGCGTTTTGGCACACATGTACTGTAATTCTTTTATTCTACTGTAGTTCATACCGTTTCATCTGTCCAGCCCCATATGTGTATAAGGTTGAATGGTTCTGTTATTTCATACAAGAATAGCAACAATGACAATTAGGCTGTAGGCAGTCAGTTGGAACAGCTTGAATGGACAGAGGGGCTTATCCAGATTAGTCAAATGAGAAGTAGGCTACATGATAATTACTCCAATAGTCAACTTCAGAGTCACAGGACACACGAATAATGTAGTTAAATGCGGGTATTTGTTTTCCCTGTAACTACTTTCCTATTGAAAGTGCCTGTACGTCCATGTGCCCGTGTTGTATAGAGTCTCACCTCTCATCCACTCAAGCATTGTCTACCCCTGTGCTGCTTGTGGGAGCACACTGTGAGTGATTGGGCTAAAGCTCTCAAAATTTATTACCCCTTCTTCTCCAAACTAAATATTTACCATGCATCCCATAGCAGCTTACAATAGTCATGTCTGTTGCGTGACGACTGGAGCCTGTTCTGTCTGAATGGCTCAAGAATCTTAGTTGGTGCCCTCTGCCCTAATCAGCAACCTGTGCTGCAGACTTGAATTCAGCCACAAGCCTAAAAAAGGAGTTGACCTCCTGATGCTTGTATTGCTGCACCCTCCCCGACTCAAATGAAGCCAGTCTCCTTTTGTATTGCCACTATTACTCATAGCTGTAATATGCAGGCAGATCAATCACGATCAATCATGTGCAGGACCTTGATCTAGAGCTCAACCTGAAGAGAAACTATTGAGGATGACACCTTGTGCTCTTGAACCCTGACATGAGTTGATTGATCCTATGATGGGAGTCAAGTAGGTCTCTTTTAGTGGACTGCCCCAGAGAATGATTGCATGCTCACTGTCTTACCAGAGGGGTCGGTGCCAGAATTTTAAGACTGCATTAAAATGGTTGCCAGGTAATGTACCCGCTATGAGAGCCGGCCCTTGTTCCAAAACATTACTGCAGAGACCTAAAAAATGTTATGATGTCATTGGTAGGCTTAGATATTCCCAGACTTCAAAGTGGGACCTCAGAAGTGGTGGTTTTGATAAACTTCACAGTAGAGAGTGTTATTATATGATGACATGGCATACTTACTCATGCTTTAGGCATATACTAGCTTCGATACTGCAACCTCTCCTTAATTGTGAGGGGAAACCAGAGATCCAGAGCTGAATATTGATGTCTGGCAAGTTTTTCCTTCATGTTTTGATCCTTGATGATTGTTTCTTTCAGCCCATCTTGTTTTTATAAAACAAATTAAAATGCTAGAATTCTTCTACTCATCACCTTGTTTTTGTTCTAGTGACACACAGTTTGTCACGTAAATAAAATGACCAGCAGCACATCATTTACACTCACCAGTCTCAGTACACTATTAATACACACTATTATTGTAGTGCTATTTATTATTATTATTATTATTATTATTATTATTATTAACACACTATTAATGCACAGTATCGCTTCTGGTTATAAAAGATAAAAACAGACAATCACAGAAGAATTTAAAGTCCAATCACAATGTCAGAGTACGTGCACAGCCCTCATCATGAACCTGTCTTCACAGAAGCAACTGAAGTGCAATGAAACTGGACCACCAGTTTACCCAAAGAGAGCCATTTATAAACATTTATACCAGATTTCAGTCTCGCAGGGTTCTTTTGTGATTTGCTTTCTCTCAACGCTATACAGTTTGATTATCTCTCACTACAACCTTTTTACATGTGGAGTCAATAAATGACTTTGAAGAGAAACTTTTCATAAAAGTGCTACAGCTTTTGGTGTCATACCATGTTTTAACCCTGAACAAAGACTTTGAAATGACAAAATGAACAAAATGATCTATCTGTCAATCACAGTGTGTAGCTGTGACATAGAAGAAGGCAGTTATTTTAGTGTTGCCCACTGTTGGATTATCTGGACACTCGCTCGTGCACACGGCTTCAACCATCACCACTTGATGATTTCCATGAAAGATCATAGCAGCTGTTCAGGACTGCGGTTTGGCCACTTGATCCTCAGAGGTCAGAATGAGATGTTACAACTGACTGCACACTGGACATCATAAACTCTTTCAGGTGTGGAAGTAGGAGAAATGCACAGCCCTGTAGTATTTATATAATGATACTCAGATAACGTCATTAGGAACAGTTGGTTCTGTGGTAGATTGTTATTATAGTCTGCTGAGAATGAAACCCAATACTGCCCCATCAGCTGTTTATCAGCTTCTGCTGCCAAAGTGTGTGTGGAGGTGGATTAGATTAGAGTGCACATGCATGCATGTATGTGTGCACAATCTTATATGTAGTGGTATTAATGCAAATTTCTGTAAAGGAAGTACTTGCGTTGACTTGCTGACAGTTTAGCTAGATACACGTTGGCCAGAGCGAAGGGCATAACTTCCAGAGGATGTCACAAGACGTGAGAGAAATTTCAAACAGTGTATAAGAATCCAGTTTCATAAACCGGGTTTGTAGATTATCACAGCAACACCATGGCATCTACCAATGCCAGCCAACATCATGATAGTAAATAAACACTCCGGCTTTCACAACAGCAGTAAATGATCTAGAAGTAGCTGAAGTGGGAGTATGTTTATTGTAAACAGCTAGAATAACCACAAGCGACCTATTTAAGGCACTCCTTTTACAGCTTCGTAGTCAAGTGATGATTAAATTACATAAATCGCCACTTATTGACCATCCTGTTTATTTGGTATTTTATTAGAAATTAAAGATCTTGCCTGCTTTGCCCCCCTCCCCTCCTCCTCCAGTCTTTTTCTTAAATTAGGTGTTTGTGAACAGGATATGCAGGAAAAATTTTACTTCAGTGCGGGCAAAACAGACAGGAGGACGACATAGCACAATAGCTTACAACCTAAAAGGGGTTGCGACACAGCACATGCTAACAACAGGTGGTGTTAATCTTAGAAAAACATCTGATGAAAAGACTAAAAAAAACTGGAATGGTTCATCGTGGGTTGAATAAGAGCTCATAACTTTTTTCTTTTTTCTTTTTTTTTTTAATTAGGTGACCTGAAGAAACCTGAACAAGTTATTTTAGAAATAAAAAATCAAGCCTGGACAGTCTCTCTGAAGTTATGTTTATGTAAGCAGATTTTATTGCCTTCTCTCTGAAGTATATTTATGGTGTAATATCCACATTAGGTGCTATACAGTACTCACCTTGCAACCTCACACTTCTCAGGCACATTGTCCTGCAGATTGTCGAAACTAGCCTGGACTAGCTTCTCTACTAGATCCATTTTATATGACGTGCCTTCATCCGAGAGCCCATAAGCCAAGATAATTACCAGAAAATGGTTCATCAGCATACCCTCCTGTTCATAGCCTGTGGACCCCACCCAACCAGCCTACCACACATAGAGGTCTCCACAGTTATATGAATGCAAATTTTGTGTTTGTGTTTGTTGTCCATGTGCACATGGCACAGCAATAGCAGTGGTCAGTGCGATTGCGTGGAGCTCCTAGTGTCTTTGTTTTAGGCTGGTAAAAGAATTTTTTTTTTTTAAGTAGTCAGTTCTCAAAGCTCAGTCACAGTGCAGTAGTGTGTGTTTTACTGGGTTTAAGCCTTACACATTATTATTCAGCTGCTACTTATTACATCTAAGATGGTGTGTGGCCTAAGTATTCCACACCTGCTATAAGATTAGGAATTGTAGTTTTTTTAAATAAATTGACCTCCTGACTTTCACAACCAAGTCCATTTTAGTGCAGCAAAAAAGGTAGATAATCCTAGATTGAAAATGAAGGAAATAGAATTGAGTCCAAGGTAATCTATGATGAAGAAAAGGAGAAAATTATCCCTGGAGAGACGCAGAGACGAAGTGGCCAAGACGTAAAAAAGTGGAATCCATCTTATCAGCAGTTCAAGGTAGCAGTGTTATCTGTCTTTCCCAAGTTAGTAACTTCGCTCCATTTACTCTGGAAGTGAAGTATGTCCTCGTTTCCTTCTTCTATCATGAAGACATGTGACTCATTCACCTTGCGCTCTCTCCTGCTCTTTTTGCCAGCATTTCTCTGTATTCCTTTATCTTATCTGTCTTTCGCACACACTGCTCACTTTAAATTCCTTAGCCACCACTCTTGGTCAAAAGCCTATATTGCAGCAATTCCCTTTTCCCTGATATATTTGCATTTCGTTTAGAATTTATGAAAATGTAGCCGTATAAACCAAGGTTATGTTTGTTTGAGTGTTAGCAAGCTTTCTTCCCAGACTGTTGCTTCACCAGGGTCTAGTAATGATCAGTCTCTCTAATCTGGCTCTGCTCAGTCCAGGTCAAAGTAAGACACTGTGGAGTAAATGTGAGAGGCAGCAGAGAGACGACACAGGCAACACTTAGTTGATTAGTTGACCAACAGAAAATTAATCACTAACAAGTCTGATAATCAGTTAATCACTGAAGTAATTTATCAAACAAAAAACAAAGCTGGCTTCAGCTTCTCAAATACCTTGACGTTCTTGACTGGCTGGACCACAAAATTAATTTAAAGATGTTACCATGGAAACTGTGATGAACTAAATGATTCATTGATTAATTGGAAAATGATCAGATTAAATGACAATGAAAATAATAATTAGTTGCAGCCCTAATTGTAAAAAATTAAGTAGTTTATATACAGATTTAAGGTTAGCTAATTTTAGCATCATTACAGTTAGTTATTTATTTATTCGTTTATTCGGTTATCTCCTTTTTCACTGCTATTCACTTTCCACGTTTTGAGTGGCCCCGTTCTGTTACACAGCTTTACTTCTCCTCCTTTGTGTGTGAGAGAAAGACAGAAAATTATCTGTGTGTGTGTGTGTCTGGGCTGTTGAGCTTGGCTATTTCCAGTCTTAAGCTATACACTTGGCACACACTTTCTCTGTACTACAGTAGTGCACTGAGGAAGTACACTAAATGGGGCAGGCCATTTTGGAAACAGCTGTTTAGACAACAAGTTAAAATGCTATAGTTTGCAGAAGATACACGGCTGTAGTGGCTGAGATCAGTTAAGAATATTTTTGGATCATTTTTGAATTCGACATAGGGGAATTTTTCATTGTTTCCAAATATCCCTAAAATGCCACCAACCCCTCTTAAGATATCCTTATGTGGTTTGAAATGCAGGAGTGAAGTTTCATTCCCTTTAGCTTTTGTAATCATTCTGTCCTCACCTCTATACAGTGACCCTCCACTGAAATATCACTTAGCCTACTAGGTTTTCAGTGACACATGCTGATCATCTCAGCCAAGCTGAGTAAGATCACATTCTCATATACAGCTACATGCCCAGGACATGGTCTCAAGGGCAGAATTACTGTACTGTATATGCATGATTTGACTGATGAGGACCTTGATGGTGGAAACACTGACTCCTTAAATACTTAGAATTTTGTAATATTCACTGTTTGGACTCCCACTCTTCACCATTGCATGCTTTTATGTCCTATACCCAGCTGGGGTGTAATCTGCAGCTAAGAATTATTTTTATGTCGATTGTTACTGATTATTTTCTTGTTGAATCAGTTCATTGTTTAGTTTATAAAATGTCAGAAAAGTTTGAGTAAAGCTCATCACAAATTCCTCAAACCAATGGCAGTGTCTTAAAACCCAAAGATATTTAGTTTACCATCAAAATAAAGAAAAACTAGAAATCCATATACTTGGAAAATTGGAACTTTGCCAGAAAGTGATTAATCAACAGAATAAACCAATAAAAAAATGGATGCTCTATGGCTCCAAAAGCTCTGGATGCTCCACTTCCTTTAATCGTTCATTAGATCCTCATTACCTGGTAAACGTCCACATCTTTCAGATTGTACTCAAGTTTGTAAAACAATCATTCTGTTAAAGTACTGAAGTTAAAGTACTGAGTGTTGTGTGTGCAGTAGGTGGAGTTCCCCTTCAACAGCTTTTAAGGACATGATGTTGCTTCTTTACTTCCTTCCTCACACCTTTCTAAGATTCTGTGTTAAAGCACTTCTTCAAACAAACAAACAACACTGTTCATATTTTGTAATTGATCCTGGTGGCTGTTGACATTTTCATGTGAAACTTGTGACTTGTCAGAAGGGCTTTTGTTACTGGCTGAGACCTGTGACATAACACTTGCTTAAAGATGGCTCATAAAAAAAGGGCGATGTTACCTGAGGGCTGCAGTTAGAAGAGTGTCTGTTGTTCATTAGTGGCTGGTAAACCGTGCACGGTAGGAATATTATAGTAGTACTTCAGGTAGGACTGACAGAAACATCGAAATACCAGACAGGCACCCAGGCTTGCCAAGGTAAATCTGTGGTCTGTAGCCTTGCTAAAGAGTGTGGTTGGTACGGTTTGTTAAGTCGTTGGTATTTCATAAGATGTAGTGGGTTTCCTAGTTAAATATCTAATATGGTGTTCTTGGTGGAAATGGAAACCACGTGTTGTTTTGAAGACGGCATAAAATGGTCTTTTTGTTTCTGCAGACACAAACTGAAACTTTTGCTATTGAAGTAAAAATTGGAAAATCTTTACCATAGTACATCAGGAGATTATAAGAACTGTTTTAATATTACAAATCACCGGTGACCATAGTAGCATGTCTAGTGAAACTGCAGAGAGAACGAGGAGTGAACTATATTTTTCTATTTTATTCTGTAATTATTGATCAATTTGTTCTTGCTGGGGTTTTTCTCCTATCGCTGTAATGCCGACTTGTTGCTGATAAATATCAACAGCATTGCATTGTTTTTGCTTTGTCTTCGTAGGTCCATACAAAGTTCCACTGTCGACAAGCACACACTCCAGGATCAGACACCTCTTGCCTCTCTTTTTCCTACGATGGCATGACTCTTGCTACACGTGGCGGTAAGAAAAAGACCTTCACTTTATCTGCCAAACCCCAAAGCCAGCGATTGCACATGTTGAAGTTGCTTTCATCAGCAGTCCAGCTCTGAACCTTCAGTTTTTAGCTCCAATGCTTAGTCCCTCATTGAAACTGGTGGTTTTTAAGCAGCGAAATAGCTTGTTTTTTTCTCAGCGTGTAAACAAGCAGGGACTATCACCAACAAAGCAAAAGGCCCACAAGAAATATATAGGCAAAAACACCTGAGTTTCTCCTCGGTATGTGACATAGTCAAGAGGTTTCTAACACGAAGATAAACAGGAATACCTGTCTAAGAGTCCTTCACACAACACAGTTCTATAATGTAAATAGAAAATAACTCTGTCTGACTCGCTGTACAGAAAGGAAAAAGTAGCGCACTACAGTGAATTAAATAACCTCTTAGACAGTTCCACTTAGGTGATTTTCTGAGGAATAAATTTCACAGTTTTTCTCCATCTATTCTTTTTTTAGGTGATGACACTCTGAAGACATGGGATATACGCAACTTCAGGAAGCCTGTGAATGTTGCTGCTGGACTGACCAACTACTTTGCCATGTGAGACTTTTTAACTCATCTAATTACAATCTGCCTGTTTGTTGCTCTTGTACATTATGTGTGGATTATGAACTGACTTTGTTTGTGTATGTTTTATTCTGTTAGGACTGACTGCTGTTTTAGCCCAGATGACAAGCTTCTTGTAACTGGGACATCAGTGAAGAAAGACGAGGGAAGCGGGAAGCTGGTTTTCTTTGACCGAGCTACTTTTCAGAGAGCCCATGAAATAGAAGTCACCGATGCAGTAAGTTCCTCCTGGGCCTCAACAACCGCAAATGCTCTCCTGACAAAATGTTTTTCATCTGGTTGATATATGTTGGTTACAAACCGTAATAACCCAAAATGATGCACAGTGGAAAAAACCCACAGTGAAACAGAATGAAAATGAAACCCAATGTGGATGTCATTTCTTCTCCACATAAGTAATGTGAGATCCAAAAAAAACTGCAGTCTTGAAATATTTTTATAAGATTTTATCTTGTTTAAAACACAACAGTTGACAGCCATAAAGATTTACACGGCCTGATATGGAGATTGGTTTAACTTGAACCCACCGTAGAATTATTGCACAAGGTTAGAACTTCAGTCTGTTATTTATTTTAACTGTCCTGTAGTAATTTCTAAAAGGAAATATTTAGTTGTGTGAGTTAAAACTGTGCAGCCAGCAGCCTATTATTTATAATAATGGTAGAAACACAACACTACAGACATTACCTAAAATCTCATTTGAATTTCTATCAGTTCATTCATGGTAAACACTTTTTTTCTATGACTAAAACCAGTTATCATTTTCCAGTTCTCTGCCAGTTACGAGACATTTTGCCTTTAAATCACTGTCTCCGTGCACATGGTCATATCCTAACAACAAAGCAATGTACTGTGTGCATTTTTTCCATCTTAGGCTGTGATGAAAATTGAAAGTTTAGTTAATTGGAGAAAATATGGATGAAGATTAAGAGTTAAGAACAGCAGTGAAGGCAAAGGAGGAAACTTTAAAATGGTTTGAATCAAACTATAGCAGGGGAAAGTGGAGTAATGTGACCTTTTCTTGCTGTAAGTAATACCCACAAACCTTTGGCAAGGCAGCTATTGATTCATTTACACGTACCGCCTTTGAGTTATATGAAATAGAAGTGATCAAATTAAATTATCTATGGATACAGTCAGCATGTTCCATTCACATGCACAGACTACACTGCCACACATTTTAGCATGCTATGAACTTCATACTAATCCTGCTTTCTCAGAAATCCATTTGGTGATGGCAACTAGCCATACGTGCTGAAATGAAAGGCAGAGGTGCTGTCTTCAGTAGAATTCTTTTTTTTTTTTTTTTTTTTTTTTTGCTTCCTGCTCTTCTGCCTCTCCTTCTTTAAGCCGCTTTCAACAGATCCATCTCAGTGTATGTGTAGTCATAACAGTGAGGTCTGATAGAGGCTCTTCTGCCTCTCCTTCTTTAAGCCGCTTTCAACAGATCCATCTCAGTGTATGTGTAGTCATAACAGTGAGGTCTGATAGAGGCTAATGGCTTCTAACTTGGTCTCCCTGACTAAAGCATGAGACTTTCACATTGGCCATTGGGTGAACAGCTTCAACAGAGGGGGAAATAGACAAAAGCTGGGTTAGTGTGTGTCTGTGCTTCCCCCTGCCATGGCAGCCAGCTGCTGCTAGCTTGGGAGCCTTGGCATCCACACTAAGTGCTCACCCTGCTGCACAGTTGCACTAACTGAGGAGAGGGTGGTCTGTGTTTTGGTGGCCCCGTTTTATCCAAGACTTTAACAACAGTTCTGAAATGTATTACAAATACTGCATTTTCTTTTATTTACTGTCACTTTCTTATATAAACCTGACCTGAATTTCACTTTAGGGTTTAGAAAACATGAGCAACTGAATTACACTAACTTTGATAATGTGCCATGCGTCTGTCAATTTAAATAAAAGCATTACGGCTGAGTTCAAAGTTGAGTGTAAGCGTTCACGTCTGCACACACTTTTTAACAGAGAGCTACATGACCCTGTCAGCACAGATGTCTGAAGTTACAGTAAAATGAAGGAAAAATGACAGGACCTTGAAATTGATTTGACTCGGTTCCCTGTTGGGTTATTTGATTTCTAAGCATAGCATTTTAACACCAATATTGTCACTGTTAATTGACTGACGGTACTTGAATTTACCACAAAAATGCCTTTGCTGAGACAGAGATGTCTGTCTTGCACCACTGTTTGTGCCTTTGGCTCTCAAAATTGATAGTATCGCTGTAGACAGAATCAGTGAATCACATGAGCTGCTTTGGTTCAGAGAGTCTGTTTAGATCTTAACCTTGCATCACTCAGTGGACATTTGTCTCCTCTTTCACTTTGCTAAAGAGGGTAAACATTTGGATGATGTTTCCATTGGGCTTTCACTGATTCCACTATCTGCCGTTGTGAGGAACTGAAAACTCTTCTGTCTGTGCACTGTTTGTCTGCTATACAGAAATCCAGGAGGTTTCCCAGAAAATCCAAACCAGTGCCACAGAAATTGCAGTCTAGAGACACATTATATTAGAGAATGATGAAATTCTTCTACAACTTGATGAGAAAAAAATCGAAGGGGTTTTTAATGGTAGTCGTCCTCATTTGTTGATAACCAAAATCATTTAGTGTAATACTGCAAATTTAAATTTCCTTTCTGGCATGTTGACATTCACTGGACAAATGAAAACACAGGGAAATGTGGAGAATTATATGGAAAGGTATTAATAAAGTTTTAGGGGCTGGGACAGTAAGAGTTATCACCGGATAGTCCAGCCTAAACCATTTGACCACGTCCATGTCCTACATTGCTGAATTGCTACTTTTTATTGTATTTTAATGTTTATATTTGATAAAGTTTTCAGAAAATGTACCCTCTTCTCCACCAACTCACTAGTGCTATAACTCTTATCTTATCTACACATAAATAGATCATCTGTGCCAATTTTGTTTTTGCTGCAGATCAGTTATTTCTGGTTGACATGCACTCAGTGAACCTGATGAATGTTTTGTTTACTATGTTTACATCAGCCATCTGCTTCTGTGATGGCCCAAGAATTTAAGTGCAGTCTCTATAAAGTGGCATACCAGGCAGACAAGTGAAAGGAAGGGCCACCAATCATTTCTAACTAAACAGTCTACATAACCCCAGACCTGGATTCTGGGTGTGCTTGGGAGCAGAGGCTGTTTTAGGTGCTGTTTGGTAAATACTTCAGACTGTCTTAATCTTCCCTTAGTTCATCAAAAGGGTCAGCAACCAGGTGAGACTCTGCTGACTATCAAAGCTCTGAGCTTTTGGCTTCATTTCAAATGGAGAAATCCAGCCCACGCAGTCCTCAATCATCTTCTATAATGTGTGTGCATTTAGAAACTGTTACAGCATAAAGTAAATAACAGAAAAAGTATTGGTGCCATTCTTATTAAATGGATCAGAAACGGTTAGATGAGACACATTACCACATTGCACACGGCTTCTTCGGCACTGTCATTAATTAAATGGTAAAAACACAACCAGCCTTCAAAAACAGTATAAATACTAAATGTGCCCAAAATTAAAATTCATGTTGGTGCATGATTGTTTCAGCTCCAGTTAGAGTTGCATTATCTTGTACACAGAAGAACGATCCCACGGACGAGGATTTTTGTAGATGGGAAATATTTTGGCCAGCTTTGCTAGTTGCTGTTTGCCCACGCTGCACCTACCATCTCATGCTTGATGGCTCTCGAACAGTGAGCTGCTCCGTGTGCTATGCTCTTTAAGGAGGCCTTGATACGAATGGCAGGTCTTTCATCTTTAGTAAGAGCAGCCAAGCTTAAAAGGTAGACGGGAGGCCCTAACTCCTTTCTTTCTTGTTCGTCTTACCAAGTATGTCTTGTGGTGGTTCCAGTAAGGTACAGTAGTTCTCGGACATGTGCCCATTCAGTGTGTAGTTGAGGTGCTAAGACAAATGTTCTCCCTTCCCCTGTTGCATTCATTTGGCTTGTGTAACTCTGTTTCTCAGACCCAGTACACATTTGGATCCACTTACCAGCGACTAAACAGCTGTGACTGTTGTGTCCCATTAGTGATGCATAACTTTATTTCATATTCACCATCAACACTGGGTGAGTGACTATTGTCTTATTTATCCCTAATTGGCCTTTGGCATTTTAATCAGATAGAAGGCTGCTACCGAAGAACTGTCTGATTAAAGTTTCCTTCTTTATGATGTGATGTAATTTTGTGGACATGAAGAGTAAACAGGGCTTCCTAGAGTATAAACACACTGCTCTGAATATCTGGAAAGCAGCCTTGTTGTTGGACTGGACTGAGCTGTGCTTGGCTGTGGATATCTTAGTTGATCCAGCTGGGCCGGGCTTCACTGAGCTGGTCTGTTTTAGGCTTCTCTGCTCTATCTGTTTGACTTGTTCTGCTGTTGACAGAATGATTTGCTGGGGTCTGAAGAGGTAGTTTTCAGAACTTGAATGGACTACAGTTACTTGGCTGTGTTGTTACTTATATTTTGAATTTATTGCCTGATTTGGGTCGGTCTCTACTGGCTCGTTGTGCTGTGCATAGGGTGAAATCCTCAAGCTTTGACAGCACTGTGGAGTCTAACAGAATTCCTAGCTGTTGGCTCTTCTTCATTTGTAGGGGCTGTCGAGTTGCTTTAGCAGCCCCCCTGTCAGGGCAGTTTAAAATCAATTACACATTTACACTGTGAAGCACATCCACAGTGGGTAGATTAGATTGGTTCATGGTACATGCGCACTGATACATGTTCTTATAAGTGTTGAGGTTTTTATGTGAACATCTCCCTGAGGACAAATACAACAGATTTTCACGTATTCGTTAAAATAACAGTTTCACATGAAGATAATGCAGTGCAAACATATTTACATTAGTACTTATTGAGTAATTATAGAAACCACTTAGAAACATGGAATATGTGAGGTGCTTGTTAAGCACATGCTGTTTTAAAGTATTTTCCAGATATTTCTGTCAGTCACAGCTAGCACTGCTTGAGCAGACTAAATCTCGTCTGTCCCATGAGTCCCATGAGCCTGATAGTGTAGAAATGTACAGATGGGTGACAAACTAATGGAAAAACCAAAAAAGTGTCTTAGTGTGGTGTTGGGAAATCACATTCCAACAGAACAGCTTAACACCTTGGCATTGATTCTACAAGTGTCTGAATTCTACTGGAGGGATGAACACCATTCTTCCCAAAGATATTCTCTTATCTGGTGTTTAGATGATGATGGTGGTGGTGAAGCTGTATAACACGTAAGTCCAAAGTCTCCCATAGGTGCTTCACTGGGGTGAGATCTGGAGATTGCAAAGGTCATAGTGTATGAGCCACATCACTGTCATACTCATCAAACCATTCAGTGACTCCCTGTGCCCCATGGTTATGGGCATAGTCATCCTGGAAGAGACCACTCATTCATTCAGGTTTTTCTTTTAGTTTGTCACCTGTTTGTATGTATGATGATAAATTCTAGTAGATCATGAACAATTCTAACTCGCTGTAAGCACAAAGTCTTATTTATGTTTCATAATTGCATGGAAATTTTACAAAGATGTGTGTTATGCCATTTTATTTGTTATGACAGAATTTATTTGCATGTAGAACATTTGTTTGTCATTTTTTAGAGCTTTTATAATAATGAAGTAAAACCACATTTAGGCATGCATGCACATTTCTCTTTGTACATCTATGCATGAGTACTTTTCAGTACTTGTATTTGTGCTGTTGTATACTTGCATGTGTATGATTGTGTGCAACACTGAACAGCTGGGCATTAAGCAGCTTTCAGCACCAATGAATCTGGATGTCCCAGTCATATTTCTGCCCACCCCCCATCCTGTGTTCTTGTCCTAGACCCCTGCCCCCCAGATTGCCATCTCTGTTTGACATAAAGATGATCCAAACGCTCACTCAATCTCTCTCCAAAATTCTGTACAGGACATACACAACCACATCAGCTACATATAGATGTGTATGAATGACACTCCTACATACAAATCATCATAGAAGGTTGTGATGCTTTAATAATTTGTGTGAAGAAAGGAGGCATTGCTGCCGGAAGTTTGGTAGCTCACATATAATACACCGAACAAAGGGTCGTCATCACTGCCCAACAACTGTTCACGTATTTCTCCCTGCCCCTCTTTTGCTCTGTCTCTGTCTCTCTCTCTCTCTCTCTCTCTCTGCGCGCACACACACCTCTGGATAAATGTGGTCACATTTGCGTATTGGCACTGGGCCATCTGTCACACACAGACAGGGCTCCTGCCCTCATCCCAACAACCAAATATAGTCAACTAGAGCAGCAGAGCAGACTGGGACTGATCCTCACTGTGCCATACACAACCTGGGCCACACACTCACAATGCTTATGACAATAAAACATGATTGTTAGTTTTTGCTGACAGAGAAGCAACAACATCCTTACAATTTTGACCCATAAGAAATAAAGTTGTTTACCACTTGCTGTTTTAAACTATGACTTTCTTTCCTATCTCCTTCAGTTACCATACACACACAAAAACCCATTAAACTACATTTTGTTGCTTCTGTCTGTCTGTGTGTGTACAGAGTGTCGTCCGCTGCCTGTGGCATCCAAAACTTAACCAGATAATGGTGGGAACTGGGAATGGGCTGGCCAAGGTCTACTATGATCCTGTCAAAAGCCACAGGTATGTTTGTTTTTAGGGATACATCTAGTGTTATTTTATATTTTTTTATTGACAGGTGCCCTAAAATAACACCACCAATGAATTTATCCTTCAGATACAAACCTACTGTTATACTGGAATACATAGTCCTTCATTATAGTCAACACAGCAAGGGTAGTTTATTCCTCTCAGCTTGTAAAGCAGAGTAAACATGAGCATATTTGCTCATGGGCAGAACATAGGTGCTCTCTGTGATTTGAAAATGCAATCATCAGATTAGCAGGTAAAATTGAACTTTTCATCACGTGTCTCTGTGTTAGTTGAACAACATATCAAAACAGAATCATTTACCGTTGCTCCAAATGACAACTATGTCACCCAGTGTATCATCATGGCTCTTGTATGTCTTTTTCATGTTTTCTGGAGAAGAGTTCTGTTGCATAGAGGCACAAGTAACACTAGACTGTGGCTGTGAATAAAAATAGCTTATATTTAATACCTTATTTTCTATATGATATCATCAGATAGCATCATTTGTAACCAACTGGCTCTTTTCCAGAGGGGCTAAGCTCTGTGTAGTGAAGAGCAAGCGGAAAGAGAAACAAGCAGAGATGCTAACGCAAGATTACATCATCACACGTAAGTTCTTCCATGTCTGTGCTCATGCACACGTAAACCTTCAAAGAAGAAGAGTTTGCAATTTAATGATCTTTGAACCTTATTCCCTGATATCTTGCCGTGCACATCATGCAGTTTTACACATTGCCTTTAAATGATAAACTACCTAAGCAATTAAAGTGGCTTTCTCAGTGATGTGCATGATGTAACAAGTGGAGCGTGTTCTTAAGTATCTTCCTTCACATGAAGAACAAAAATGCCAACCGTAGTTTACACACACTCTCACACACACACACACACACTGAACCACACTAGTAACGAGGAATGAGAGTCTTCAGGGCTTTCACAGGCCCATTAGTTGATGGAGTAGGGTGTGGATGAGTGGATCAACAGCAGAAGGGCACTATGCCACGCGGCAACCATGTGGTCTACAGTCATGCTTGATCACGCTAGACACAGCTGCCTCTCCCATGTCTGCTGGCGTGATCTCCTCCACACCACGCGTGCACTAACTACTCCCCTACCTGTCATCCTGTCATATCTCCAAAACATGAGGCCATCATCTCTTTTTGCGTGCCTCCCACTCCTTTGCCTGCAGAATGAAGTCCTGTATCTATAGAAAGAGAACTGCTGCTGACACGTCGTCCCCGATTGGCTGCCAAGACCAAATTCAGACACCATTTATTGTTTTGGACTACTGCTGCTTTTTCAGATGCAATTATGTGCATCGTGATTTAATTGTCATGTCATCAGGGTGTGAGGTAGCCAGGCATTTGACTGGTACGAGCAGCAAGTGACGCACTTGGTGCCTCGGCACTGGAAAATTAAAAGGTACAGGAAGCAAGTGATGGCCCATTGAGAAAAGCGAGGGAATCTGTTAACAGTAACCTTTTTGCTTAATGGAGCATAGAGGAGAAGAATTAACACTGAACAGCGACAGGGCTCCTGAATGGAAAATCGCTTTATCTAGCCCTTTACTGAAGTGTCTTTTTTGTAACCCGTGAGGATGAGAGTAGAGCACACACTGACTTTACACAAACACTAATGCTTACACACACACACCCACTCTGTCTTTATCACACACCTTTGAGGGCACTCATTCACATTTACTCACGCACACGTTCTCTCACACTCAGGGATTTAAGTGCTGAGGGCCTTTATTGTGATAGCGTTCACAAAAGTGTGAAATGTGGCAGAGTGATTGTCTGAATCTAAATATGGGGGTTATAATGAATTTGTCACTGTGCACTATGGCGGAAAGAGTACACAAGAAGAGAGATGCTGCAAGTTCTGCCGTTCTGCAAGGTGTAGAGTAGTACTCGTGGAGATGGAGTTTCAGAAAACACTTCGTGGAAGTTATATACGTAGGCTGAACATATTGCCAGATGCCCTGCCTGCTTATTTGTGCAGTTATATTATGTGATCTTGCTGTCTGAGTTACCTAAGCAACTTGATTATCTTTGTTTACCCTGTGTGTCTCCAGCTCATGCCTTACCCATGTTCAGAGAGGCCCGACAGAGGAGTACACGAAAACAGCTGGAGAAGGACAGACTTGACCCAAAGAAGTCCCACAAGCCAGAGCCCCCTGTGTCTGGACCAGGTAACATGCATTTGTTTTGTTTTGTTTTTAGCTTTTATTAGTGCAAACAGCAAAACATCAGGTAAACAGAATAAACTAAAATGTAACAAAAATAAAAGAGAAAGACAGGATTTAGTGTCTACAATCTCTGTGCCAGGGAGATGACAAATCAAAGACAAAAAATCAGAACAAATACAGTCATTTCAAATATGAGTAAAGTGATGAGGCATTGCCAAGTCTAGCAGTTGTTTTTGAAGCATATTAGATATTTGTAAGTGGATGAGTACATGGTTCTCCAGAGGCAGATGTACAAGTCTACAGTTGTTGAAGTGTTTGCTGTGATGTAATCCAGCCTAAGTCAAAAACTATGACAGCACTGCTCCCACTTGGCCTATCAACGGTTCATTATAGCCTGCTGTTGCTTCATAACTGCTGCAGCATAATGATGCATTGTGAATTTCCTCTGGACCCATGTTCATTGTGTTTATATTTTTACATGAATACACACATAGATTAACACACCCAATCACAAATGCCACACCTGTGCCTGATCATGGATATAGTTTGAGCTTCATTCCAGCCAGACAACCTTTCCTGCTTTTTTGTTTTCCATCTGGCCCACTGCTGCTAGTTTTTCACTTTCACTTTTTTTTTTCAATTACAACTATTAAATTGCTCCACATGCAATAAAGTACACCTTTTGTACATGTTTAACGTATTTAGATGTGGAACATAAGAATAAAAAATCTTGAAATGAAATTTACAACCAATTTAGAACAGAACTGAACTAATGACAAATACTTATAGCAGCCACCAGGGGCAAATCAAATGTTTTGTATTTAAAGGAGGTGTATTTGTATTTTTCAGCTGTTCATTGGTTTTTCCTTGTTTTACTTAAATGACACTTTATAAGAAAGGAGCGCTGCTTAGCTAAATGACATTAATTAGAAGGTACACTAAGTACTCTATTTATGTATGAAAACATGTAGAGTCACAGAGATCGAGATGAAAACAGGTTTGACCTCCTGATAGCACGCCAGTGGTTTTTAGACGACAGGCTGTCTTTATATTGTTTATCCCCTATGTGAAATTACTTTGCATAAGTGTAAGGTAATGTTTGGTGGTTGGCTGACTGCTTACAAGCAATGGAAAAAGGTGCCTCTCTATCCCCAAACAGCCCTACTGCCCAACTATAGCAGGAGATCCCTCTGTGTTTAACTGTGTGAATGTACAGTATATGTGTTTGGGTCTGTGCACGCACATGTGTGGGTATCCTTTACTTGATCTTTTCAGCCAACTGTAATAACGTCCTTTCTGGAAAGCAGGACGGTTTTTTCTCCCTAAAAAATTCCTTTAAGCCCAGTCACATCCAGCCAGCAGTGCAGAACTACTGTAACTACAGCAAATATTTCATGCACTCTGTTTTGGAAGAAGAATGGAATAACTGTAGAAAACAGAAATCTACCCTAAGTTTAAAAAAAACTTAGGACTACAGTTGTGTATTTACACACACCACTGATACATCTGTGAACATACAATTAAAGGAATAGTTCAACATTTACTCACTTTCTTGTTGACTGTTAGAAGATCAGTAACACACTCATACAGTATGTGTGCACTTGGTATGGAGATCTGTCTGGGAAGTGAGAAAGAGAAACAGTTTGCCTTCCTCTTTCCGAAGTTCAAAAAACATGACTGACCAGCACATCTAATGCTAAATAACTGTCTCTTGTTTAGTTTGTTTAGTATGAAAGTAGGAATGTGAAAATGTCAGTTTGTGATTTTACAGAAGGTTACAGTATGTTTTTCTTGATGAGCAACATTTTTATTTGTCCACCTAGCAACATCTCTGGTGATCTGACAATGTCCTGCTGACACAAAACCCTTGTGTTGTGTCCAAAATGACTCCCTTTTCACTTATTCACTACTCCCTATATAATGTACACTAAGTACTGTAGTTCATTCAGTACTGAACAGAAAATTGGCATTTTGGACACTGACTAATCATCAACATTTTACATCATCACTAACGGCTGTAATTTGTGCAACAGCTAATAAAATGTGGAGTGTTGCATTGTGGGGGTTTTGAGTTCACTTAGTGGATAGATTTACACACTCAGCATTCTGACACCACTACAACAGGGTGAACACACTATATAGTGATTTCAAACACAGCCTTAGAAACCACTGCTTCATTTGGTTAAAGTGTAAAACAACTGGGAAATACTACCAATGAATTAATTAGTATAAAACATTACTGAGATGCCTGGTGATTCAGTGGAGTTCAGCAGTAATCATTCAACATAAAATCCTGGGTTTCATGTTGAATCCATAAGCTACTGGGTTAGCCAGCTCGACGGCTAAAAGCAATTAACAGTCCTGAAAACAGTGTACATACTATAAGTGTGGTAAATGGTTTGGGTAATATTTAATTTTTACTTTCTATATTATGAGATTTTTAAGAGGTACAGTATTATGCAATGCTCTATGATTATGAACTTCTACCACTGGGAGCACCAAATTCTGCTCTACAGCTTTAACTAAGTTGCCTTTTTTTAAATCACAGTCTATATTTTTTAAACTAAACTGACCTTTGAGGTATGTTAATATTTCTATATGTTAGCGTGTGTTGCTAAAATAGCACGTCATACTGAATTCATGTGCATCAGTCTAACATTTTTATTATAATATGTGCTCGTTTTAATATTAGAATAGATGTGCGGGGTTTTTTTTGTTTACTTCAGTCTTAACTGTCTATTCTAATGCGCTCATCATGTGTCCTGACAGGTCGTGGAGGCAGAGTAGCAGCTCATGGTGGCACTTTGTCTTCATTCATTGTGAAGAACATTGCTTTAGATAAAACGGATGACAGCAACGCCCGAGAGGCCATCCTACGTCATGCCCAGGAAGCTTCAGAGAACCCTTACTGGGTGGCCCCGGCGTACACACAGTAAGAAAACGCTCTCCTTAATTTGTAAAAATATGAATCGTTCATGCGCTTCAGTTTGTTACTTCACTCACTCTGGCTTTGCCCTCATTGGTAGACAGAGGAAGCTGTCTATTGAGAGTGCTGCTTATGGCATTTCAGTGGTACTTGGGTTTCTTCCTACTGCTAAAAGAGTTTTACTGTTACACACTTCATACTGCAGAAAGGAGAGGAATGGGCAGTTACAGATCACTGTCAGTCAGTCAACTATATAAGTGTGAAAACTGTGAGCCAGATCAGTCTGTTTCACAAAGTCCTGCATGCAAACGATCTAAAGCTAAAAATACTAGAACTACTTAAAGCCTCAGCTGGCCTGGGTAGAAGAAATTATCTAACTTTGTTTTCTTTAATTTGCAGTCCAATGCTTTGTTCTAAAATTGTCCGAAAGTGTTAAATCATCATATCATCCCTTTAGGACCCAGCCAGTGCCTGTGTTTGCAGAAGAATCGGAAGAAGATGAAGAGGCTGACAACGAACCAGAGTGGAAGAAACGCAAGATATAAGGCACAGTAAAAACAGCAGTTCATTTTATAAAGGATAGCTGACAGGGCTGACTTGTGGCTGGATATACCGCAACATAACCACAAGGTCTGAAGATTGGTGCCAGGACACTGAGTTAGTGTCAGAAACTCTGAATAGGAACATCAAATACATGACTAAATTGTACAGACCCCCTCCTGCCAAATGTAAAGATTGTTTTAAGAATTTACATGCATGCTTCTCTGTTAAGAGGAAGCACAGAGATGTGCAAGCATAATTTAATTCCTTACAGGTTTATGTTCCTGTCATTGCTGTTCATCAGCCACTTGGCATTTTATCTCTTGTTTTGATTGTATGGACTTTTTTTTTCATAATTTCTATTGTCCTTGCATCCCATGTCTTCAGAGTTCGCTAATGCCTCATAAATTGCCTCCAGATTTAGTGTCTGGTTCTGCTCATCAACTATGAACAACAGTTTGCCAGTATGTAAAACATAAACTGCAAAGAAGTACAAACATTTCCTCCTCAGTTTGGAATGTTTTTAAAGGGGTTACTGGATAATTTCATCAGATATGATATACATAAATTCATACAAGCCTTATCTAACTTGGAGTTTTTCTGCATACTATATTCCAACCCAAAAACTAAATAAAAAATGTGTATTCTCTAGTCAAACAGTGATATATTTTCTGCAAGGTGAGGTCTGGAGAAACAGATCTGTGTAGTACCTCAGCCCTACATTGTGTACACACCTTGAACCCCTGCTTAATGGCTCACTCTCTGACCTTTTCTGCCATTTTCTCATCAGCATTTACATATCTTCTTTGCACAGTGGAAACATTCTTGGGTATCTTGATTTACAGCTCAGTGGCCCTTTACTGCTCGCTTTTGTTTACTGTACGACCCTGGGCTAGTGTTCAGGAATGCAGAACAGGAGGGGACGCCACACTGTAGAAGCCATGTTTCAAAACATCCCCACAATTCTCCATTTAACCCAAATTTTCATCTTCAATTTTACACAATGCTTGTATAAACATAATCCAGGCAAATTAGCACCATCTGGCACCAGTGAATTATTGTACATGGTAGAATACCAGCAGACATGCTTTTTTAATAGAAACAAGTTTAATTTTGTAAAAAGTTATAAAATGGATATTGTACAAAAATAAAGTTTGCCAAGAGCTTTGGTTCTGTAACACAAAACAAGTGAGACGACATGACAGGTTTTTTCACAGGTGTTAATACAATGAGTGAAAACAAATCTAGTCCTTTCTTCTAATATTAACACTGAGGATTTATTTGCATCTTTACCTTTTTCTTGTTTACCTTTGCATCAAAACCCGAGGGCTAATCACCAAGGAACAGCTGAGCAAACAGGTATGAAGAAGAGAGGATTAGCGGTCACAGTTTACCCACTTTAAAGTATGGTATCAAGAAGTAGCTGGGTGCTCTGTGGCTTCTGGGAAGCCTCCTAACTGCACATTCTCATCTGGAAAGGCTTATGCACGAATCTGTTGTTACAGGGAAAGATGATCCAATTGATAAGGTATGCTGTGATAAAAACTAAAATCTTTTGCGATCTGTGTATGTTTGGCCTAAATTCAGCTTGATGCCATGGATTTGTTCTGTGTGCAAGGGGATTACATAGTAAAGCTGGCTGTCTTGCTGCTGGGTGGGCACTGATACCTTGGTCCCTAATCTGTACTAACATCAGCACCTACTCAGGGGCTCACTTTGTCCCATTTCAAACTGTCCCCTTGTAGGGACCTGTTGGGAACATGCTTTTAAAGAGCACCCTGCTTTCCTGGATGTTTTTTGTTGTTGTTGCTGTAGTTAGTTTTTTTTGTTTAGCTTTGTTTTTAAACAATAATTTAGTAATAAACCAAGCTGAACAAGTTATTACATGTAGAAAAAGCATGCCGCTCTTACACATCGTCTTTCCTCAGCCATTCCAAAACATATTTTTTCGTCAAAACATTCAGTCTTGAGATATTTACATCTGCTTCGCGATGACAGCTGCTACAGTAGCTTCCTCAAACTGCCTTCATGAAAACGTATTTGCCAGCAGGGATATTTGGTTAAGACTCATGTTAGAGGATCACTTTCAAATCCCCTTTCAGGGAGTAAGACCTGTCTCTGAGCCGAGACAGAAACATAGGCAGTCCCATGAACTTTAAAGCCTAGTGGGATAGTAACCGCTGCAAAGCCTTTGCTCAGGCTTGGTGCAAGGCCAGAGTGAGGTTTCGGGTAACATACGCTGATAGGCAGGCATTCTAGCAGCTTCTGTACTCTGTGACTCAAAGGATGGATCCTCAAAAGGCTCCTACAGAGAGACCGCTACTCTCATAATGACTTTAGATTTCGATTAAACAAGGTGATGGCTCCTGTTTGGAGTGACATTAAATATATTCTGGAATATTAACTTGAAAACTGTCTTGGAAGTAAATCAGCAGTAAAGAGTTCATTTTTACAGTATAATGAATTGACTGTTGGATTAAAAAACATCTGATGTCCCCACCATCTTTGCATGGTCACGTTACTAAAAAACAGAGGTGAATTGTCTAAGAAAAAAAAAATCTACCCCACCATTCCTCAAAATGCTACAAAACAACAGATCACTTCAATCCAAAATCTATTGGTCCCCTCCTCTGTGTTTCTTTCTACCCTCCCTTAACTGTAGAGGTAAAGGTGATTGTTTTTGGACTCATGAACTGAGCAACCATGGAATCTAAAAGAAGCAAATCAGCGCTCTTAGGATGTGTAGGTCAGTGTTTAGCACTTCTGGATTATGTTGTAAGATTTTACATGAGAAAATGCTCCACTTTGGCACCATCCAGGGCAAACAAAGCTTTTAAATAAATAAGAAAAACAATTTCTTCCATAAAATGTACTGAAATAAATAACAATAAGTTAATTCCATCTTAATAAATATACCTCTTACACACACGTGTATATATATATATATATATATATATACAGTGCCTTGCGAAAGTATTCGGCCCCCTTGATCTTTGCAACCTTTTGCCACATTTCAGGCTTCAAACATAAAGATATAAAACTGTAATTTTTTGTGACGAATCAACAACAAGTGGGACACAATCATGAAGTGGAACGAAATTTATTGGATATTTCAAACTTTTTTAACAAATAAAAAACTGAAATATTGGGCGTGCAAAATTATTCAGCCCCCTTAAGTTAATACTTTGTAGCGCCACCTTTTGCTGCGATTACAGCTGTAAGTCGCTTGGGGTATGTCTCTATCAGTTTTGCACATCGAGAGACTGAAAT